TATAATGTTGAAAAATTAAAATCTAAATAATATTATATATAATGGGTTCAAGTAAATCAAAACCAGTAGAAATTGATGATGAAGAGGCTATTAAAGTAATAAAAGATATAGATGTAAATACGATAAGTGAAATGTCAAGAATTGATATTCTACAAATAAATTCATTGAAAGCAATAATAAATAAATTAGAAAAAGTTAATGAATGTAAAAAAGATAAAACATATTATAAATTTCCTGCCTTAAATTTATGTAGCTATTCTTTATTCTAAATTGATAATATTAACATACATTAATATTATTAATTACTATCATAATCTGTCATTTCACTTTCGGGTAATTTTGTTGAGGCGTTGCTACACATATCATCTATTAAATCTTCTTCATCAACAAAATTATTTTGAAATCTTAATAATTCCTCGTCTGTTGGTCGTCTTTTTAACACTTTATAAAGTTTATGTATCCAAGAATTAGTATGAAAATTGTAATTACCTCTACGATAAAATCCACCACATCTACATAGTTTCATTGGCATATTATTATATTATATTAAATTAGAATATCTTTATTCATCATTTGTAATTTGAAATGCCTGTTCAAAACGGAGAAAAAACATGTCATTCACATTCTTAGCATTCATATTCACGTAGAAGAAACTATAAGGTGCGTCATTCACTGCTTGATGATACATATCTAATAATTGCTGTTTGTCAACAATGGCGCTATTTTCTTCAATAAAACTCATTAATTCACTGGCATTTTTCAACCTAAAAATATATAATGAACTGGCATTTAAACGAATGATAGGCGCCAACACATTATATTTCTGTGTTGAACAAATTACGCTTACTGCATCGTGCCTACCTCTTGTAAATAATCCATGTAATAAGTTACTATATCTAACAAATTTAGGATCGTAACGATTAATATTGAATGTAGTTTCTTTATCTTTTTAGATTTCATATAATTAATTATTTTCTTCTGTCTTTCAATTGCATTTTCTAAATCACTTGGATTATAATTATCAAAATAAATTTGTTCTTTTTCATCATCCACGTGCAATTCATCCCTGATATATTTTTTAACTTCTGTAAAGGTTGGGTCATTATGAACGCTGGGGGAAAGTATAAATATTCTTGCAAATGAATTTCTATAAACATTTAAGATAAGGTTCTGAACCAAGACTGTTTTGCCACCTGTCGAACTCGCAACTATAATACTTCTAAATGGTAATTTTGGCACGTGCTCATATTTAGATTGTTTGAATTCATATTCAGTTATGTTTATTGGCTTTATTATTGGAACATCTGACATAATAAAATAATATTAAAGTTATTTAGAAAATATTTTATATTTATTATTTTATATGAATAGAAGCTATTCAGATTATATTGATATAATAGATGAAGTAGAGAATTTAGAACAAGTTGTTATAACTGATAATAGATGCAAGAAAATATGCTATTTTGTTTTAGAAATAATTAAGTTTGTGATACAATATATCAAACATAAAAATGTAAATATTAATATAAATGGGAAGAAAGAAAAATAATAAGACTGAACCAGTTGTTTCTTCATCAGTTGAAGAAAAAGAAGAAGTTGTTAAAGAAACATCAGTTATTGAGTTTGCTTGTCCAATGTGTAAAAAGATGTTAGAAATCAAGAATGAATTAGAAATACAAAAGAAAGGAAACTGTAAATGTTCGTGTATTCCGACAAGTTTCAAACTAAGTAAGAATGATAAGAACATGAATATTGATAAAACTAAAGACAGTATCAACTTAGAAACAGATGTTCATAATATTACATTTAAATGGGGTCGGAACGCTACTCCATCCGATAATGGAGAAAACGAAACACAGGAAACTGTTAAACAAATAATGAAAACTACTTAAACAATAAAAAACAATATATAACAATATGGATAGTGTCAAAGTGAAAAATACTAAAAATTATCAAAACGGTAAAATATATTGTATTAGAAATAATATAACCGAAGATTATTACATTGGAAGCACCTGTCAAAGTTTAAGTCAAAGAATGGCACAGCATAGAGGCGATATGAAGAAACAAGACCGACAAAATACACTAATCTATCCATTTATGATAAAACACGGATATGAAAACTGCTACATTGAATTAATTGAAGAATGCCCCTGTGAGAACAAAAGTAGGTTACAAAAAAGAGAAGGCGAAATAATACGAGAGTGGAAACCAACACTAAACATTAAAGTGCCGGGAAGAACTGAACAAGAGTTTAAACAGGACAACCCCGAATATTTCAAACAACAAAAGGCAAGGGATAACAAAGCGTACCGTGAAAAACACCAAGAACAGATAAAGGCGGGAAAAAGACTTGAATATTTAAGAAATGCTGAAAAATATAAAGAAAGAGCAAGAATATATAAAGAAGAGCATAGAGAAGAAATCAACAGGAAAAGCAGGGAAAAATACCACAAACAGAAAGAACAACAAAATATAAACTCATCCGATAATGGTGATAAGGAAACTCAGGAAACTATTAAACAAATGATGAAAAATTAGTATTTAAAGAGTAGATTTAACATAATTTAAACATTTAGTTTTAAAAGTTTTATTTATAATAATATATATATATATATTTACATGGATGAAGGATTAGAAAAAATGGTTAAAAAACTGAACAAGGTTTTAGAACATAATAAGAATATTTTAGAAATCTTGCAAGAAATAGAAAAGAAGAAACCATTAACAAACAATTATCAAAGTAAGGAAGTAGATCGAACCAATGGTGAATATAAAAATAAAAGAAACATCTATTTAAACAAACTTAATAACAAAGAAATTAAAGAACCGAAGGCTTCAACTATGACATTTTATCAAATCGACTATGATGAAGATACAGGGATTTATTCTTGATTGAACACATTTTTATCTGTTTCCCTGAAAAAGTGCTTAAAGAAATATTACCTTAATATATTAAGTGAAGTATGCGCGACATTAATAATCTACCTTTGGAAATTAGATTGAATATTATGTCATATCACTGTTATGATATATGTCCTTACAGGTTTAATGATATTCTTAAAAACCATTTTCCAACTTGGGAAAGAGTAAAAAGAAACCCATTCTGGGCAATGACTTTAACTGAAGCATTGGACGATACCAAATCTGATTATGAAGTATATTTAGAATTGAAAGCGTTCTATAATTATTCCTACATATATGATATTGAAAATAAATTTAAACAGCTCTGGTTCATTGATAGTATTGATGACAAAAGAAAACACTTGAGAATTGGTTATTACGACGCAATGAGAGCACTGTTGGAAATGATGCCATTCAGAACAGAGGCAGAATGGCATATCCGATTTTATCATATATTAAGCACGGAAGACTTCTATGACGAGGATGAAGAATTTAGCGATAATGAAAGCGCGGCTAGCTATTATTGAGATGAATGTTTCAGTTCTTGATTATACTATAGTTACAACATATAAGATCTTATATGTTGTAATTTTAGTTTAATTTTCCCGTATAAGCCGTGGGGGTGCTTTCCTACATAGGCCTTTCCCATCCGCATTTTGCCATCCATATTTTACTGGGATTGTTTTCAAGATTTGGGTTAACGGTTTTAATTCTCCCTTTTCCATTGGTTAACCATTTTTCGGGGAGTGATAATCGACGATGTGTTATTTGGATGGGAAAGGTTGGGTTTATTCATTTTTTAGGTACGTAATCTTGAAAGATCATTTAAGGACATGTATTCATAGCATAATATGGAGAACTCAGAGTGTAGCAGTTGTAGAGTCAATAAACCAATTACTGAATTTAACGGGTTCAAGACATGTAATAAATGTAGAGCGAAGAAGCGAGAGAGGACAGCGAATAATGGATATTTGTATTGTCATGTTTGTGAAAGAAGAGTGAACCCGAGATTTGGGATTTCCATTTGGTTGGAGGTTGTCACCAAGATAATATGCTCAAACATCTCAAAGCAGATTATCAGAGATTAGTTGACGCACCTACACAAGAATTCAAGGACAATTTTTTTCAAGAAGGTCAAGAGAGGATACAAGAACTCAAAATGACAATGCCTTTGTATAATCCAGCTTTGAGAAGAAAGAAAGTTGATCAGGTTGATGGTGAATTGGACTAAAACATGAAGTTGATCATTAGAATATTATGTTTCTAATGATTAACTTAGAGGGTTGTTCAATTTGGTGGTTTTGAATGGTGTAATTTGATAGGTGTATTTAAAAAGTGCTTGAAAGTGTGGGGGGGGGGGTAGGACAATGCGGACGGGAGAGGCCATCTCTAACTCTTAGGCCCTCTAAAGCCAGGGTTCAAATCAACCAATCCCCCCTCATCAACCAACAGTTTGTTGGGGGGGGTGCTTTTCCGTGGGTGGGAATCACTTCTGGAGGGGTTTTCATCCCCCTATTAAAAACTTGGGGTTGGTTTCCCGTGTACCCTGAAGAAGGATGGTTGGTCGTTTTAAACAGGAGTTTTTGGGGGAACTCACAACTATTCCTCACTTCCCATCGAGTGGATGGGAACAAAAAGTCCGAACTTTCTGTTTACCGCCAAAATGGTTCAAACCAAACAAGTGCCTACAGTCCATGAAATCGGGGAGTGAGACAAACTGCTCGGGTAAACGGTGGCCGCTGGTATCCAGGTGCTTCCCGGACTCGGTCATTCCCTACCTATCGCACCAGCAAGATCAAGGCGAGCAAACCAACAGAAGGACAAAAGCGCGCTCTCGGCACACCAAAAGGCACCAAAAGGCACCGCCAAGACAATGGGATTCACGGGAAACCAACCCAATGTGTCACCCAAAGGAAGTGAGAGGCAAGTGACCACCAGAAAAAGGAAGAAATTGAACACCCTCCCACCACCTAACATGGGTTTGTGCAAAAAGGCCCTTTCCAAGAGGAAAGTAGTCTTTCTACAGGGGTGTGCACTTCCATGTTAGCTGGTGGGAGGGTAGGTTTTTGAGTCCAGTCTGCCACGATCTGCCACGCCTTCGGAGTGTAAATGTTGGAGCACACCGATGGCACGGTGGCGGTGACTTCTGGGCATCGCCCGTACCTGCCGAAGACCAAAAATCGATGAACTGTGCTTCGACCAGCTGCCAGGGATTATGCCCTCTCGGGAATCAACAACCAGGCTTTGGTTTACTTGGGACTATTTGGGGTCATTTTTCTAGGGTCTAATCCCAGGATGTAACGAACAAATCCTTGGGTAAATTGGCATTGCGCGAGTGGGTGTGTCTTCAATTCGTGAACGTCGCCAGCATTGGTGGCTTGGTTTGGGCCGCGTGGTTTGGTCTGGTGGTCTTGGACATGACCAAGCCACCGATCAAACCCACCAGGGGGAAACTCAAGTAGACCCGCGTGTCAAAGCCGGGCAGGGCAAGAAAAAGCCAACGCGTAGCCTCCCCCCCTCACTGGCTGAGTGGATGGCCCCAAAAAAGTCCAAACTTATTTAACACTAAAAGGGTCTTCCCAAAAAGTTTAAAGTTCATGAACTCAGGAAGTCAGCGGGCCCCTCCATAAGAAGCACAGCGGTCTGGGCTGGTGGCTTGGAGTGTGGAGATTGGACTGCTGCTTGATGAACTCCAAGCGCTTCAACGAAACGAAACGCGGCGCCGGCGGCCACTTCAGGCGCCCCACGATTCAACTTGCCAAATGGCAAGTGTAGTACAAACTGCTTGTTTAAATGCGGGGTCTGAAAAATAAAACTAGATTTCCCTCCTTTCGAATCCTTCTTGTACAAAGCACTATGTTGGGCTTCTGGCGCATTTCTAGTGTTTCAAACGACATGGGATTGCCGCGCCTGCGGTAATACTCCGACCAGGCGCTGCGGTGTCGCTCCGCCCAGCCGTTGCCCCAGACCAAGCAGGGCATGGAGACTTCGGCGCCCTGGCGCGCAGTGGAGCCGTTTATCCGTGTAGCTAACCAAGGGAACCATGCCTTTAATAACCAAAAGGAGCATGGCTGGTTACACTAGTTACCTACTTTATATGGGCAACTGGGGATGCATTGGTATGGTTTGGAGGGGTTTTGTCTTTAAGATTAAGTCCCACAAAAGTTGGTTCAAAGGAAATCCTCCCCATCCCTTCAAGAGGGAATCCTCCAGGTCCCGGAAATCGCAGATAGTTTTCTCTACCAAGCCACGACACAGGGAAAAATTGGGCACACACACACACACCCTTTATACAGCGGCTGTGTGGTTGCAAAGCTCACGAAAATTTTCGAGGGTATCCTAGAAGCTCCAAAAGAATTGAGAAGCGATTCATCCACCGACTTGAAACCTCACCCAGCCGAAAGGAGTCGAACCGTTCCACGGCCCACAAGGTGATGTTTAACTCCCCCCCAAAAAACAAAAACAAACACATCCCCCCTAAAGGAGAAAAAAAAACAAAAAAACGAGAAAAACAACAACAAGAACACATAAAAGCCCATGCCGAAAAAAACGCGTCAGGCGAAACGGAAGATCTGTTGTTGCCTGCGCCTTCAAGCTGAAGCTTCTATAGCTCCTATTTGGTGAACAAATCGTCCAGCGGGATACGAATATTTGCCCTTCATGCCCCCATGTGTGTTGTGCGCCACGCACCTTGGCCAAACATATTAGCTAACATACCGAACCTACGAGCTGGTTTTGTTGCTCGGGTCTTCGGACACTTTCGGACACGCCTTGGAACGCAGACCGCCCCCGCCCCCCCCCGCCCCCCGCCACACCCAGAAGCTCACCCCAAGCCTCCGGGAAGTCGCCCAGGGACACGATGGAGCCCCCGAAGGCGCGCTCCAGGGGGGTGCCCAAGGGCGCCTGCCTCGCGTCTCGGGAAGCTGCCGGTGCGGTGGATGTGTGGCGTTGAAGCAAACCACGGGTTTCAACGGCGAATTCGCCTGCCCAAGGGGTGAAACGCTCAGGCTTCAGGTCAAGTCTGTGAGTCTCCTGTGTTTCCCTTGAAGCCCCACACCTTATCAATGAGAAACATGCTTAGCCTTCCAAAAATCCTGAATTTCCTTTGTATCGGGAACGGCCCCTTTTTCTGGGGGACGCCTACCGTCCATACATTACTTCGGGGGGGATTCCCTTTCTTTTCGGGCCCCGCCAGCCGCCAGAGTCGTGAAAAAGCCATGCTGCAAGTAGCGGATGCCGTCAACGTCCAAGTCAAAGCCGAAGTGGGTGTGTCCGAAGACGTGAAGGTCCGGCTTCCTCGAAAGGCGAAGCCTGAAAACAACAAACAGTACCTTGACCCAGAAAAACCGAGCACCTTGAGATACAGGCTAGATAAAGAAGCTGGCTGCTCTGGGGGTTTTTCGAGGGTAGCGGAAACAATCTTAGAGGTGGGCAGTGTGGGAATCTCTTAGTCAGCTTGCCAGCTCCCAAAACCAAACTTCTAAGATCCTCCTGTAACCCACCCCCTTGGTCAAATGCAAACGTTTGCGAATGTGTCTGGCTTTGGGGCATACCCAGCAAACACTGAAAAACACATGCCAAGAACAGCGAAAGTCGCATCTTCAACACCAACAATTGACGCTTGATTTTATGCCTGGAACCTGCAACCCGCGCATTCGCTCCTTGGTTTCAAAACTTTCGACGCCGCTTTTAGGGCCGCCGATGCGCCCAAAAGAACGCAAAACAAACCGAGGACACCCCCACCAGCAGCAAGTGGCTTGTGGCAACATGGTCTTGGAACTCGTCCCGCCGAGCTTCAGCCGCTGCACGCGCTCCTGCCGGGCGGCTTGCTTTGTGCCACTGAAGCTGTGAACATGGGCGATAAAAATGGCCCCCATGGAGCTGGGCGACGACGAGCCCAGAAAATTTCAAGGCCCGCCGGACGGGATCTTGGGACGGCAGACAGGGGTGAGGGGGGGTGGGGCCAGATTCGCTTTTTCTGTGGCAGCAATACAGAGAGTTCCTCCACCGGGCGTTTAAATAGTATGTCCTCGATCGAATATTAGATTTCTGCGAGTAGACAACAACACGACCCCTGCATTTGTCATGGCAAGTCATCTCTACTCTTGGTATGGTAGCAAAAAACTTTGTTTTTTGCAGACCCCCAGTAAAAATGAACAGAACCAAAAAACTAAAAAACCAAAAAACATGCCAAGAACAGTGAAGAAGTGCTCGGGGCTGGCTTACCGGTGGATTTGCAGGGAAGGCAGCGCACAAAGGGCCTACAAGTACTGCAAGCAGGGGAACAAGGGATCTCCCCAATTTACCGTAATTTGTCATGGTTTGCGGTTCGCTTGCAAATTGCGGGCATCCACCGTAGCGTTCACCGCTTCCTCCCAACCAAGAACCCACCCAAGCAAGCCCAGCGCAGGACCACCTGCCCAACCACTTGAGCAACCCACCCAAGCAAGCCACATGCAGGCCGACCCAGCCCGCTAGCCCGGCCGGACCAGCAATCAAGACTGGACCAGCACCACCGCCGACGTGCTCACATGACCGCGACAGCAGAACAGCAGCACCCACTTCGCCTCACGCCCAGTCCCACAGCAGTCAAGTCCAGCGTGTCTCATGTCCCATAGCGGCAATTGCTCTTATCCCAGTCCGGCTGCCCAACCACCTGTCTGGTGCGCTGTGACTTCCCTGAAGCCCAGCCAACAACCCACCCAAGCTAGGCCAGCCCAGCCGCAGGCCCAGCCCAACCCGCACGCCAACATAGTCGAGCAAGACTGCCGTGCGCGTGGGATTTGATTCTCATTCTGCCCACGCAAGGCTGCCGATGCCCGACTCCGACCGATCCACGCTTGAAAACACCCCACGCCAGCACAGTCGATCAAGACTGCCGTGCGCATTGATCACCGCAGCTCTGCTTTGATTGGATCACCACAGCTCTGCTCTGATTGTCGAGATTTTCTGCGCAACATCCACCCTCTGCCCCAGCACGCAGCGACTCTTGGCTCCATGACCAGGAGGCCTCAGGGATTCCTGCGCAACTTTGTCCCATGACATCAATTGGTCCAACAACGCCAGAACCTGTCCATTCCTGAATCGCCCCTTGACCAGCTTGCAGTCGAACCACAGACGCTGCGCGCTCAGCATCGCTCAGCTGGGCCGAGGCGCGCAACGCGCAGCGCCCAAAAAAAGCCACCTATGGTGTCGAGGGTGCTTGCACGGTGGGTAATTTCCCGCAGGGATCCTGCTCACTGCCAAAACCCCAGGCTCCTCCAACCGCAAAAGTGTGTGTGTGTGTGTCAAAGGTCATCATGAAACTCACTAGTTGGAACATTTGGGCATGTCTGTTTTTTGAGGGTACCCCGCTTACCCCCCCAAAGACACATCCTCAACCAACCCTAAACCAACCCCAGCCACCACAACCCGGCCAAAAACTAGCCAATGCCGCTAAAAAGCGCGGAGCTCGGAAGTGAGTAGATCCCGTTCCGTTCCGCCGAGCTTGACACTGACACCGGGTCAACGAATCGGAGGACTCGGCCGGCAGAATCGGCTCCTTGAGGTACAAAGATCCCACCGCCTTGGCCAGGCAGGAAGGGATCAGGTACCTGCGCAGCGCTTCTTTCGAGGCCGAGGCATTTCGGCCCCGGCGTTTTTGGCTTGGAGGTGTGGAGTCTATAGTGACCTGCTGGTCTCATGCAGCATGATGGGGGAACCCGGAAAATCCGGGTCAATCGCCATAACTCAGCATGGAAAAGAACTCAGCGATATTACCTTGCCCTGCCAAGGGAGGAATGATTTGGAGGGGAAACTTGACCCCGCAAAGGGCGGGCTTTATTTGGGGTTCCCTTAATAGCCAAGAAGAGTTCCTTTCTTTTGAAAACCAATGCGTCTGTCCAAAACTTTGAAAAAGGCACTGCCCAGCCTGATTTCATGCTTCAGGACCCATCGGGCGGACCGATGTGAGCAACCCAGTTTGCCTTGGTCTTTTCAAGTGAAATATGGGCATATAGGTGGGTGCCAGTAACGAGCCAGGTGATCTTGGCCCAGGCCCTAGGCACCTGCATGGGGCTGAGCTTCCTCGCCCAAGTGGAGCCTGGAAGTTGCTGGTCAACCCATGCCATCTGGGGACAACAGGACATAGGTCAGCCGTATGCAGCAGGCAAAAAGATGCAGCCACACAAGTCATGTCATTGCTCTTCGACCCTTGGGTTCCAAGAATGCGGCTCGATTCTGATGCTACATGTTGCTTCGGTGCAAGCTGGAACCCGTTGATTTGACGCCGCTTTAGGGTCCACTTGTTTGGCACTTGACCCATTGGGATGCACGGACGCGCCACAACTGATGCATCTATCAGTTTCAAAAGGAAACTCGTAGAAGCCCGAGAAACCATCCCCACCGAGACTCATTTTTCCGGTTTCGGGGCACCGCTTCTCAGGGTTTAGCTCAATGCGCGGCAGGAAATGGGAGAAGGACAGTACTTGGAAGTCCTTCCTCCTGGCAAGGACCTCCGCAAAGCCTCGGAAAGCTTTGCGCGAAGAATCCCAACTCGGGGAGTGAGTGGCTTGGAGCGCGGGGGATTGAGGTGGTTTCCCATTTACCCTCTACAACAAGGTCCCCAAACCACCAAATCCAAACCTGCAATGTAGGAATACCCGACGACGGAAAAGAAAAAACGACCTCCTCGCTTCGGCCTGGTTTGTTTGGGCTGTTGGGGGGAGTGAGGGGGCTGCCATGACCGTGGGGTGCTGCTAGGTGCCCCTCCAAATGGGGATGGGTTTAATGGGGTTAGTCTCAGGCTGATCCAAGTTGCAAAGGGGAGGTACTATCGCACTACTCGGTTTCTGAGTGCATGGGCCAACAAAAAGAACCTTCTGTTTGCCACCAAAATGGTCGTCCATAAAAGTGACTAAAGTCCAGGAACTCGGGAAGTGAGACTAGTACGTTTAGTGGAAGGGGACATCAAACCTGCGGCATCTGTTGGTCAAAGGGCAATGCTTGTCTAAACTTCTGGTGTTGCATGGGTGCAAGGATAGCATATAGTGGCACACAGCACGTTTCAGTCTTTCAATCCGAGTACAATACCTTTTGGCCTTAGATGGCATGCCACAAGTCTTGTTAGTGGTATGCTTGGCTTGGCAAGCGGACACATTGGGAACAAGTATGTTCTGCATGTGGGTTGCAAAACTGGGCACTGCGACTTTGGTGTTGCGGGCTTGTCCTGCTCATAGGCGACCTGTTGAAAAAATGGATGGTCCTGGAAAATGGGATGGCATAAAACTAAACTAACCCATCCATTTCTAACCACAGGCATGCTCCTACAAACTCCAAAAGCCGAGTCTTGACCTTGAGAGAGATTTCCTCGGGTACTTTGCCCAGGACGGCCATCTGGAAATTACTAACTGGAAAACCCAACCAGGTCCTCCAGTAGAGAAGGGTACCAACTATTCTTCTGTAGTCTATTTTAGTAGGGGAAACCCTCCGAACCAAAAAAGGGTGAGAATCGGTGAGAAAGGGCACCGATCGCTGGGGACCTAGCCAAAGGCCAACGGGTCAGAGCGGAGAGGCCTCCCTTTGAGCAGTTTCGATGTGTGAAACCCATGTGACCCACTGGAAGGGGGGAGGGGGGGGAATCCATGGGTAGAAATTCAAGTTGAGAAGCAAAAGCCTTCGGGCCAATATCATGGCTTTTGGGTTGGTCCTATTTTGAAGGATCGGAGCAAGCCTGCATCTCTTCTTGCTGGGTGGATTCCTTCCATTTGGTTGAGACCCCTGGCAAAAAAAAAAAAAACATATTTCCACCAGCCGTCACCAGCCCCACAAAAACCCACGGCCCGAACACCGGCCCACGGCAACGCGCCTGCGACGCGCCGAGGCGCCGTTTTCCTCGTTCAACTCATCCACGGCTCGCGCCACTGAGCCGTCGTCGATGCGCAAAGGCGGCGGCCACTTGGTGGCCCAGTAGTCCTGCCAGGCTTCTCAATGAGAGGTTCTCCTCCAATTGCTGTAAAATCGATTCCCTGGTAAACAGTGAACAAATATATGTCCAGCAGTGAGATCGACTCTCTGTAAATCCAACCGAACATATACGATAATCCTCTTAACCAAGTGGAAGGTTCTGGGGGCATCACCCTTGTTCCATGGGCCATTTCCCATGACTACTTTATTGTTAAGGACAAATTCGTTCGAGAAAGTGGGATTCCCCAAACCGTATTTTCAGCAACATCAGCCACCACGGCTTTCCAAGGCTCACTTACATACCCCAGGTGGACATACCCACCTACAAGCAATAAGCATATAGAAGGGCAATGATCAAATCCAGTTCAACCCCTACGTAGCCCACTTCTTATGCCTTTTTGGCTTCACTACACATGGATGCAAACACAAAGCCTGGGGTATAGTTTCAGCCATCTGACTCCAGCAACTCAATTCCGATCGAGATTGGTCAGACATTTGGCTTGTTCCTCAATTGCCCAAATGGGGCCATGACACAAAATGGTCCCAAAAAGGGAATTCAAAGTCCAAAGGTCGGCTTTAGGCAAGTGAGGTTCGCTGAAACGATCCTCCCCGAAAAAGTATTCAGGTCCACTAACAAGTGAAGCATAGGCCAAATCCGATCGAATTGCCAGCAACGAGAGCAATTCCGTACTTTCAGCACCACAGCGGACATGTGGGAACTTGATCGCCACTTGACGCCAGCGACAAGTATACGGTGATGTACACCAATCAACCCACATAGAAGTTGAAATCCCATATGCTTAACACCAAAAGCACTAGTGATAGATTCGCAAAGAAAAAAGACACACGTATTTGAAAGCAAACCACGCACGTTCCCAAGGACTTGGAACGGACTGGAGATCCCCAAAATCTGGCCCTAGTTAGACCTGCGGGTCTTATTTTGGGGCAAACAGGGGGGGGGTTGCAGTCCGATCTTCAGAAGTCACCTCCTTTTGCATTGGAAGATAGGAATCGGACAGTCAGACTACCCCCAAAATGGGTTGTTGTCTTCCTGCATATGAAGTGAGTTGCTTCCTGTTGCACCAATTTTTATTACAAGCCAGCCCCAAAGCGGGGCGGGTTCAACCCGGTCATCCCAATCCGGTCCGCGATGGTCTTCTCTACTGGTGGCACCTCAGGTGCAGCTGTGGCGTCTCTCGACCCCTGAGGCATGGGGGCTCCCGGCATCCCAGTTGCCCAGAACATCCCCCCTACCCGAAAACGGGGGCTTGGGAGGTTCCGGGACCCAATTCCATTGGAAGGAAAAATGAGATAAACCTTACCCCTGAGGTCTTGCCGCTTCAAATGCTGGGCTTCATACACGGAGATCTCCAGGGGTCACCCACCTGCCCCAATTCCATGCATATCTCCATTTGCTTAGGCTTAGCTACGACAACTAAAATATGTCCAGTGGTGAAATCGATTCTCTTTAAAACCCAAAAGGGAAAATGAAACAAATCTTCCGTTCAGCACATGGAATACATTTTTCGTGGCTGAGGACCACACTTGGATGCTGTTGACCCCTCTTCAATAAGTTTCACTTTTTGTGGCTTGAATACGGAACCCCCTTGAAATCAACCAAAAAGTGAAAGTCAAAAGATCCGTTATTCAATAGCAATCAGAAACTACCACTAAAAAGGCTAAACAGCTAAGGAACCAGATGGCTGGGGACCACCAAGTCAAAAAAAAACACCTCCGCTTTCCCCCCTCCGCTTCTTCCGCATTTGCCGCGCTCGGCGCCTCCCACTCCTCCAACTCCTTCTCGGAGTCCCACTGGGGCTGGTGCCAGGCCAGCAGCGGCACCACCAGCACTTGCTGCCCGCCTCAGTTCGCTCGAATCATTCCAGGGCTCTGGGAAATGCCCACTGTGCTACAAGAAAAAGGTCCCGAAAAAAACCACCCCGCCATTTAAAGAGGGGATTCCAACTTCTATCACAGAAGTGGTTGAATAAACCCCGAGTCCCACAACCCTGGCTCGCAGGAACTCGCCAGAAAAAAACGATGGCGGCCCCTCCGGCAATTTCCTCACTTCCCAAAAAGTGGAGTGGCCAAAAGTCGCAAAAAAATCTCGACAAGTCGCAGGGAGTGAAGATCATTCCCTTGCATCTAGAATGGGAACTGTGTGGAGAACCGGTCTTTGTTCGGGCAACGGCCCACGCCTTGCATGCAGTACTTACAGTACGGCATGCAAACCACTGTTCTCCTCAAAAAAGGAAAGCAAGAAGCTGGGTCAAAGGAGGTTGACAGTTGGGATACACTCATTTTGAACACTAATGGCGCAGGCCATGTATTGCTACGAACGCACACACACACACACATAGAACCACATATGTGCCGTTGTCCTCTCTTGCTTCATGAGCATACGTATCTGCATGTGTAAATGTGTATTCATACAAAGGTTACCGCGACTCATCCAATCACCCTCATTCGGCCACTCTCGCCAGCATTTTGCAATGCAGGTGATTTGGTTCGCCGAGACTTGAGAGGAAAGCTTTCCTCAATCTTGGTCATTCCTTCGAGAATGAAACACATGTAAATGTTACCTGACCAGTGTGTGTGTGTGTACGTGTACGTGTACGTGTACGTGTACGTGTCTGTGCTTGTGCGCGTATGTTGCGCGCTGGTGTGTCTATTGCTGCTTTGCTGCATATCTCACTGACAAATACTCAGGAAACCAAATTCTCAAGGGCTAGTTCTTGGTCACTGTTGACCCCACTGCAAATCGTTTAACTTTTTGTAAGTCCAATGGGAAACCCACGGTTTCCCCAAACAGTTCAAGCCCAAAGATCCCACCAAACAGCCCTAAAGCCCTACAGAACTGGGGGGGGCTCTCAAAACAAGAGAGTCCGCTTTGGCTTGCTGAGAACTACCCCATGCCGCCTGTGTCAACGACGCCCGGGCGAGTTTCCTCGGCGCCGGCATGGCCACGCTGACGTGAAGTTTGCAAAGATAAAACAAAATTGAACCCCAACAAAGCTCAGCTTCTGATCGGGGCGGGCCCAAAAAAAGGTAACCACACTTTGGGTGTACCACACAAATGGTCGACCTCCAAAACCCCCAAAGTGACTCTTCAATCCAAAACAGAACCCGGGAAGTGGGAACGTTCTTGCCCGCGGAGGTCCCCCCAAAGATCGGAATGGTCGTTCGGAGTTCGGGAGGCAAACAGTTGTGGCTTTTACCCTCATGGCAAGCCTGAGGCCTGGCTTTGGCCCGGTTCCCCCCGTACATCCAACTCAACTGTGGGACTCCTGTCTGACATGAAGTGCCGACAAGTGCCTTACCTGGACCCTCCAACTCAGAGGAACTCGCCCTTTTAAGGGTGGTTTGAGGGTCCAGGTAGCAGCAACCGCAAGCTCACTTTCTGAGCAGATTGGGCCAAACCCACTCCTCAGACTTCTTTATGCCACTAAAATGGTCCAAACCCAAACGCACTACGAGCCCAGGAACGGAGCCAGCAGGTCCAAGCGTCTTCCGTTTCAAATGGCCCCAGAAAGGAGATGCTTGCATCACCCAACAAGGAGAACAATGAAGCCCCTGACAACACCACCCCTTATTTATACACATGCTTTTCCCAAAGAACAATACAACTAGGGGCACGTGTCAAAATCGTGGGAACCCTGCAAACAGTGGCTTCTTCTTGGCTTTCCTTGGAACCAAGGTGAACACAAATCTTCCTTTGGGTCTGTCTTTTTTTGGGGTGGGACCCGTATTTGGTGGATTTTAACGGGAACATAAGACCCGTCCAGGTTGGTTTCTTCAGTCTGAGCTTTGTCTTCTCCGACCCAATTTCAAACCCAGGTGGGTGGCTCGCCTTTTTGTGGATTGAAAGGGGGGTGCAGGTGGGTCCTTTTTTTAGGGGGCCCCAACATGGGTGGTTTGCGTTTCAAACCATTAAACAAAGGGTACCCCTGGACAAAGTCGCACCAAGAAAAACCAAAGCCTTGGCGAGGGTCGATGCCTGCAGAGCCGCAGAAGTCCAAAATGGCACGGAGCTTCTCCATGGAGTCGCCGCGCCAACCCTGCGTCCATAAGTCGTGGTTGCCTCGATGAGTTGGTCATGGGACGAACACAGGGCACCTTTTTCCTGTTGGTTGATTTTCAAGATGCCCCCTCCTTCAACAAAATTAAGGAAAAAACAAGGGTTGCCTTTCAAGATGCCCCCTCCTCCTTCAACCAAAAGCAGACAAAACAAGCGCCTGTGGGAACCGGTTGTTGTTTGTTGTGTTGTGGGAGACCCCGCCCAGTAGCCCGCCCCAAGGCTCCACTGTCTACTGAACAAGTCGGCCATCGATCGGCACAGGAACAAAGCATTGGCCTCTTGAAGGGGATATTTCATGGCTGGCTTCATTTGAGCAGCGACCAAGATACGCTGACTTTGCCCCATCAAAAACGGGTACTAGTATTGCCTGCGTCATGCCACATCTCATTTTTCTCCAACTGCTGAAAGTTATGGGGCAGGTAGGCTCTGGGTCGGTTTGGAGCAGACTTGCGGCTGTCGCGGATATTACCTGGGCTGACCGGAGGTTTCCTCATACAAGGCGACTCCAACTAGACGCCTGACACCTGCTTGGCCCAAGCAGCCGGGGCAGAAGAAGACTCGGGCGAAGCGCTTCTTCAAAAGGAGCAAGGTCTGTTGAAGCACCTGCCGTCAAAGGTGACCTTTTGGAAACATGGATGGCCGGTAAAATAGAAAATGAAGCCTAGCTAAACCAGGGCCATCTGTTTCTATCCAAGCTAAAACTGCCGCAAGTCGTCCGGGTAATGCTAACCTCGGATTTGCAAACACCAAAAGTGAAGGACCCCCTCTTGACCGGGACGACCCGGAGCCATGAACCAAGACATCATTGATCCGGGGTCAACATTCATATTGTTTTGCATTGGACCTGGGATTGCTACCATTTGGCATGGACGTGACAGCCGCAAACTTACTTTCCATATGGTGGAGGAAGAAAAAAGGAAATCCACCGAAAACCGCTTCGAGAACCCCTCAACGTGTAACCGCTTCGAAGCATATCCATCACCTTGGGATTATTTTCCAGGAAAGCGAGGAAACCGTTGGCTTCCGATCCAGTGGACTGGCCGTTGGATTTACCTCGAAAATGGCCCAACCCGAAAAACAACTGCGAATCACAACTGTTATGGCCTATTAGCCTATGCCTGGCACCTTTGAGCGGGACCCACCTGGTTGCACACGGGCGCTGTTCCAAACTAGCCACGTTTTTCAAGTGGCAGCTGCATCTTTGTGTTGCCGTCAAAAGCTTAGTGAACCTGGAAGAGCAAGGGGGCCCTTTGTGAATTAACATGTTGGGCGCTTATTTTGTTGTGCTTTCCCGCCTTTAAACACATTCCTTCAAAAAGGGGGCACGTACAATTTTATAGGGGGAACCCACCAAACGAGCAAGGAAGACAGCGTGTCCGCACTAAGCGTGCTCGCAACACAGTTTTCCAAAACCGTTTCTAAGTGTGTGTGTGTGTGTGTCTGTGTGTATAAGCTCCATGAACTCAGGGAATGAGCAGGCTGTGTAGGCTCGTTTAGATTTGCGGCCCTGTGCGGGCCGGTGCGCCTACCCATAAAATCCCTCACTTGTGCCATACCCCCTCCGCGTCTTGAGGCCAGGAGTGACTGGATTTTTAAACCCAAGAAGCAATGAGGCGTGAACCCGGCGAACGCATGTCTTCCAGCATTCGGTGTATCATGTTCAGTTGGAACCGGGCCGGGCAGGGCGCATGCCTACTTCTTGGCACCGTCTTCCACTTATCGTGTAGCAGGACCTCGCGCACAGCACACCACTATCGGCCACGCCGCCTCTTCTTTCAGAGCCGGGTGGTTCACTGCTTCCGTTGCTGCCAGCCATCCCGCCGGCCAACTTTCCGCAGAGCATCAGGTTTGGTCTTCAGGCGAAAGTCCTGGGATTGAACGGGCCTGGTGGCCTGCTGAAGCGTCATCTGCATCTATGCTGCTGCGCCATCAATGAGGGTTCAGACCTTCCTGCCAAACGCCCACAAAGTTCGTGAGTTCCCTGCCCGCTATTGCCCGCTCAAAGACAGAAAAGCGCCCTGGCGTCCATCATGTGCCTTTCTGATCAGACGCACCCCCAGGAACCTTGAAGCAAAAGCAAATTAAGAGAACCACGAGACACGGGTGCCGCCTGAAGGCGAAAGCCTGAACGCTCATGGGCGCTGCCAACTCCACGACAAAACGTCAAGGACTATTCACCTTGACTTGGCTTTTGGTGAGCACAGCCCGTCATGGAAGGCGATCAGTCCTAGACGTGGCTACGAACTCTCCGAAAAACCGCCCAGGCCATGAGAGTTCCCGAAGAGCACTGCCAGGAAAGATGGCCGCGCAAGTCTCAGCAAGATCACGTGGCTTCATATTCGGCGACCAACTGCTGGACACAACCCCCTTGATTCCACCTGACTTCCAGTGCGAGCGAAGCACACAGGGCCAATGCTTTTGGTGCCGGAGCCCCAGCAGAACAAAAGGTTGATTGACGGTGGCGTTCCTCCCCGTTGTTGAGCTAGTTCGCCAGCTGACTTCTCGTTAATGGGAAGCCGTTTGTTGTTGCAAAAAGGCAGTAGAGACATCCCCCTGATGCTGATGAGCAATAGATTATGCATTTAATAGCTCCACCCCAGAGTGGACTGGCCTAGAAAAGTAGAGCCGATTTCTCCATTTTACCGCGCAATGGTCCAAGCCCCAGAAGTGACTAAAGCCCGAAACGTGGAAGCGAGTTGGCCCATGGTGGTTTGGATTGTGGTTTTCTGGTTGAAAGGAAATGTGAATGTACCCTCCACAAAATAGCCGACCCGTGAAAAACCACCAACCCACCAATTCAGTGCCAAAGCTTCGGTTTCTCGGATCCCAAAATGGGCACCCTTCTATTTGCTTAAGTCCCCTGCCAAAACAATAAAGATACTTCCAGTAGTGAAATCGGTTCCCTCTAAAACCAACAGGGGAAACAAATAAAACAAATATTCATTTCACCAAATGGAAGTTGTTGGCCCATTTACTCGATCCCTTTAAAACCAACAGGGAAACAAATCATTTCACCAAATGGAAGTCTAGGATCCCAAAACGGGTTGCCCGATGACTCAGCGTTTTAGCGCTACCTCCATGGTGTTGGCCACGTCCCCGGCCAAGATCAACACGTCATCACGGAACCTGGGCCGAGAGACTCGCGTGGCCGTTTCAAACCGATATGAAAACCAGGGGGGTCTATATAGCCACCATTGAAGACCGATAGATTGTGATACAAGTCTTTTAGTGGGGGTTGAGCCCTGGGGGGCAAATCAGCTTCTCCCGAATTGGTGGCTTGGAGTGGTGGTTGGGTATGTTGGGTGGTTAGGGGTTCAGCTTTCCCATAGCTTTCCCTTTCAATCTATGCTGTCAATGGGTGTGGCTCAAAACAAGGGGCCCAGGACCTGCGATCCTCTGGCTCTCGCAGTAGCCACGCCCAACTGGCACATGCGACTGACCAAAACAAACCCGGTGCTGTGCACCAAGAGCCTGGCTTTGTTCAAGGTGGATGGACGCTCAGAAAGCTCAAACTACTTCTTTGCTGCCCTTGCTATGTGGCCCACATCTAGGGACACAGCACTGATTTCTTGACTCTGTCCCATATTTAGACTGTAAAGTGTGAAGTAGTGTGGGAGGCGACCCCAAAAACGGTCTTCGCAAATATCAACGGTGCAGGAACTCGGGGCGTAAGAAGAACAACCAGCAGCCAGCAGCTTTGGAAGTGATTGAAAGCAAGGTGCCCAGCCCTCAACCCCTCCAAAAAGTTACACTTGTTTTTGGTCGCTTGGGGAAAAGGCAGCTTCCGAAAGGTTACGACTTGTAGACTTCCCCGAAGGGACACCTACGGCGGACTGCGGATTTCTCGGCCAAAAGGCTGAAACTTACTAAAGACCGACCCTGAAATCGCCCCCACTGCTCTCACTGTCGTGAAGCTCTGGTAGCTTGTCCACCCATTCCATGTTCTCCTTCCAGGGTGGAGGTGGGTGGAGTGCCAAAGCTTTTGCTTCTCAAACCCCAAAAAGGGTACCCTTCGTAGAAAACACAGCCAAATGGATGCGATGCAAACACAACTCATACCCGTGGGATGGCCTTGCACACGATGAGCAACTTGGATTTATGCCCTCCCAAAAAATCGGCTGGGTGTTAAATATAAGCCTGGAACAATCCAAACAATGCCCATCCCCTGTGGTTTCCTTTCGGGACAAATGACTATTTTACAGGCTATTCAGCACCCAAAGGGCAGAACACTGGGACGCAACCCGCATCAGTGTCCTTCTTGTCGGTGTGGATGTCAGACAGCGCCCAAATCTGAGTCTGCTTGAAATCGCAGACCGTCCTCCGGGCCAGGTCCTTGTCTTTCCTGAGCGTGGTGCATGCCAAGTTGCTTGCTGAGGCTACCTTTCAGAAATCATCGCAAGTCTGAAATTCAAAAAGTGGAAGTACGGTTGGCCAAGTTGACCAAAAGGATGGTGTGCTCTTTGCGAATGCCTGAGTTTCAATAAACCACAGGCCGTAATGAACAATGCGAAAGAAAAGGACTGTCATCCTGGGTAAACTCATGCTGCTCCTGGGGAGCTCGCAAAAAATTGTCCAAACCAAGCGAAGGCATCCAACCGGTCGCCTTATGTCCTGCAAAAGTTAGGGAAAATGCATATACAAAAAAAAAGCCTTCCCCTGTCCAAAGAGCTGTCATCGCCCCTCCGTGACTCTTTTCCTGTGCGCCTTTCGGGAGAAAGCAGCCGCCGGTAGTTGAAACATCGTGGTATCTGCCTGCGTTCTCTAGGCTCGCGGCCCCCTTGAGCCCTAAGGAAATGTAGGGAAATGTGACCCATGGGGCAAAAGGCACAATCTCTTTCTTGGCACTTGGAGGCCACGGTCATGAAGCTCCACTTCCTGTTGGCCAAAAGCATGACCCAACTTGTGGACACCACTAAACCGTTTTTACGCCCCGAACAGTACAAAGTCTAAACACTCACACGTGTTCTTCTGTTCTCGTTTGATTTAGGGCTGCCCAATGTTCCCACGGGAAGTGAGGAAACTTTACGCTTGGCATAGCGAAGAACTTGGTTCTTCGCAACCAACATGGGGCATCCACACATAAATCCACCCTCCACCCACGTCCAGCCTAGAAACGCCCTACGTAAAACGTGTTAGCCCTGCCATCAAAAACACACTTCCACTTCTCAAAAACCCAGAAAACTGGTGTGGGAGTGCGAACTAAACTCTTCAAAAAAAGAATCCTAAACAACACTTTTCCATGGTTTTGCTCATTAATAAACCCTAAAACTCCCAAACCCTAAACCCTCAACCTTAAGCTCCCAAACCCTAAACCCTAAGCGGTCAAAATGAGGGTCTTCTTTCGGGATCCTCGGGGGAAAAAAACACGGCACAAGTGCGGCGACCAGTGCCTATTTGCCGAAACAGAAGGAACACAAAGAGAACACAACAAATATAAGCTTCAATGACAAGCTGCAATCAGTGACTGTCCAGTTTGGGACACGTTGCCTGAGCGGTCCCGGTGGTACCAAGAACGATTCGAGCCCACTCAACACCTAAAAGCTACCCGACGATTCGCTGGGAAGCGCCAAGTGAACCAACTTACTTCCATTTGGTTAAGGCCCCCTGGCAAAAATAGAAATATTCGATTCCCTTGAAAACCAACATTTTATTTTTACATATTCTTAAGTAAATGGAAGCTTAAAAAAAGGGTCTCAAAGCAAAACCCATTGAGCTTCACTGGCCCGAAACTTCTCTTGATCGAGGCTCAGCTTGATGCTGAGCCAGCCGCTCTCGGGGCCAACGCCTGCGGCGACTTCCGGCGATTTCCGGCGGCCGAAATCAGACCCTCGATTTCAGGCGAAGCTCTTCTCACTTCAGATCGAGTGGATGGGCCAAATAAAGGAACCAAACTTTCTAGCTACCCAAAGGCTCCCGATGTTTTTTGGGCCCTCAAACAGCTAGGTTTTGAAAAACCCCAAACACCTCCGGGGTGTCTAATGGAGGGGTCGGGTCTTCCATTGAAAGCCCCAGGAGCCTCCGAGTACCACTAAAATGGTTCAAACCCGAAACGTTTCCAGTCCATGAACTGAGGAAGTGATTCTTGGCTAAACACCAGAACCTCCATTTGCGGATACGTCCCCGGGAAAAATGAGAACATAGTTCCGGTCGTGAAATCGATTCCCTTTAACACCAACGGTGGGAGAGAAGAAACATATTGGGATACGTTGACTCCATAGGACGTGGCCACAGTCGGGGCAAATAAGGAACGGCCTCAGCAAAGGACCTTCATGGTGGCTGAGCTCGCTATAATTAGCCCAGAATTCCCAGATTCCCAGGCTTTGCCTAATTATAACTAGCCCGGATTCCATGGTTTTTTCCAATGGTTGTCAACAACATACACCATTGTGAAAGTGAGTGGCACAAATCCCTTCACGTGGGGGAAGAAGAGGGGAGAACTAAACCCGAATTGGGGGGGTTGCTCCAAACAAAATTGGAATGCACGCAGATGCTTGGTTTGTTCTAAATGCCTCATGCTGACCCAAAGCACTGCGAAAACATAGTAAGCTAGCTATCTATGCGTATTTTGGTGAGGCATATAAACATATACAAGCATATTTAGACCAACGCCTTGGCGCCTTGGTGGCTTTTTGGTGCTCCAAAAGCATGACTTTACGGGTATCTTTTGAAACGATCAGGGCAATTTGCTGTTGATGACCATTTCTCCGAAACGCGCGAGCGGAATTGGCCGGTCGACAGAACTTGAACGCTTGGGTTGGTGGATTCCATCTTTTACCGAAGCAGCCACCGAAGAAAACATGGATTTAGAGAGTCCCACAGAACTGGAATAGACTGAAGTCAACAGGGCAACATGCCTCCAAAGGAGCAAGAAAGCACATGGATTTTTATTGAAGGTACCCTTTTACACTTAGTTCAGTAGGTTCGGAAACCAACATGAAAGCCGAAATCCATTTGTGGGTCCCGATGAACATCTTTCCAAACCTTGACATGTGGGCCAACAACTTCCTTTTTTGCAGCCCCCCACCAATAGTAGAACAGAACAAAACAACTAAAACAAGAAATCCCGTGCCAAGAACATTCGAAGGAATCCCCTTTGTTTTGACCATCCATACATCACCATCCACACACCACTCGCGCCCAGGAATTCTTTTGACCAGCCATACATCCACATCCACACACCGCTTGCGACAGGAATCCTCTGTTGGTTTGTCTTTTTTTCAGGGCGCCCCTTTTTGGGGGTGCGTTCTTTCTATTAAACAAAGACAAACAAAACAAAACACGGGAAAAAACAAATGTTCAAATTGCAATTTTGAGACACATCTAAAACGAAGCCACAAGGACAACCACCCATTTTGGGGGTGATTGAAACCCACACATCCGCATTTCCCTCCAAATTCCCCAGAAGTGACTGGCGCTAACCACATTCTGGACATTTACCACGAACCATGGGCGCAACCCCAAAAAGCTGCCTCTCAAGTCCACGCTTCTCCATCGGGAGTGCTCCGCATGTCGCCACGCGCTCCTGAGATCTTCCGGAAGTGCAGGCGGTCTCCCACCAGGTCCAGCTCTGAGACCAGGGCGCCATGGGACAAGCGCTCCTCACGGCCCCAGGCTGGGGGCCCCTGGGCCCTGCTGGACCCTGGGGCCCCAAGGGCTGGTACATGGAATGGGCATGCATAGATTTGCCCTTCTGGTGAAATAGATGGTGCTGTTTGTCTCTGGAAAATGGGATGGCAGAAGTTTCATCTGAAACAGAACACATCTCTTTCGATCCAACCGAACCTACAAGGGCCACCTGTGTGTGTGTGTGTGTTGTGTGTGTGTGTTGTGTGTGTGTGTGTTGTGTGTGTGTTGTGTGTGTGTGTTGTGTGTGTGTTGTGTGTGTGTGTTGTGTGTGTGTGTTGTGTGTGTGTGTTGTGTGTGTGTGTGTTGTGTGTGTGTGTGTGTTGTGTTGTGTTGTGTTGTGTTGTGTTGTGTTGTGTTGTGTTGTGTTGTGTTGTGTTGTGTGGTGTGGTGTGGTGTGGTGTGGTGTGGTGTGGTGTGGTGTGGTGTGGTGTGGTGTGGTGTGGTGTGGTGTGGTGTGGTGTGGTGTGGTGTGGTGTGGTGTGGTGTGGTGTGGTGTGGTGTGGTGTGGTGTGGTGTGGTGTGGTGTGGTGTGGTGTGTGGGTGTGTGGGTGTGTGGGTGTGTGGGTGTGTGGGTGTGTGGGTGTGTGTGTGTGTGCTTTTGGATGGGGACTCCTTGGTGGACATCACTTAAGATACCCCCTCAAAACACCAAACACCGCAACTTCCATTTGATTAAGACCCCTGGAAAATATAGACATAAACATATTTCCAGTAGTGAAATCGATTCCCTTTAAAACCAACAGGGATTTTGTTTCTTTCTTTTTGGTATTTGTTTCAGCAAATGGAAGCTTAAGACTTGCGCTAAAAGTTGAACTTTGAGTGGGTTAAATGAAAGGTAAGAGGCATATTCTTAAGCAAATGGAAGGTAAGCATCCCCGCCTCGAGGCCTGCAAGTGGTGGATTTTTTGGGGCTTGAGACGTGAGGGGTCACCCCTCCCTACCCGCCACAAGGTAACCAGGGCCTCAACCCCCCCAAAGCCACCAAGCCAAACCGGGCCAAAAAATGACCTGACGCTTTGTATAGACATCATTTAGATCCGGTACCTCAAGCCCGAAAAGAATCACCAGCTTGAGGTTCGAAGTTGTTGAACCCTTTTTGGGGCGGCCCCCGGGACTAAGCGCTTGGTTTCCCCAGCTGAGTCACAATCAACACCTGGTATTAAAATTGTCTACCCAAACCAAACGCACTGCAAAGCGGAAGCACCAAATTCTGGTTGGGACTGTCCCTTACTGCTCACTTCCTGAGTGGATGGGCCAACCAAAAAAAGTCTGCCACCAAACTGGTCTTGCCAAACCGTGACTAAAGTCCGAAACGGAACTCTAAAAGTGAGACCAAGCTTCACTTCGGGATTTGATTCTGACTCATCTGACTCCATCACTGCACCCCCGGAAGAAAACATTTCCAGTAGTGAGATCGGATTCCTTTAAACAGGGTGAAGCAACGAAGCAAATGGCTTTGGACTCTGACTGAAACTCATCTGACTCTGTCGCTTCGAGCGTTTCTTAGTACCGCTCCAACGGCTCGGAGTTGAGCAGGCGCCCCGTGCGCGCCAGCACCCCGCCGCTCGTCTCGCCGCCCACCACGCGCCAGGTTTCGCCGCGCATGGAAAGCGGGCGAGCGGAGCTCTGGCGGGCTGAAACCTTACTTGGTTCCAGGGAATTTTCAGGTATGGGTTTCGGAGGCATGGAGGTTGTCTTCGACTTTTCTGTTTGTAGAATGTGTATAAGACGTATGTAGTTCACTATACGCTTAAATTGGTGGTATATAAGTATATAAGCATTCGTACCTCGAAAAAACATACCTGGAAAGGACCTTGATTTGTGGCTCGAAGATCTCTTGCGAAAGGTTGAACGGTTGAACTTTGATTGGGACATGTTCTGAATCCCTCTAAGCTCTGAAAATTCCAGAAGTCTATCAGGGGATCCCGCGAGGTGAGGGGCTGGGGTATGAAATGAAAGTCGCCGTCTTGCACCACACCAACCTTGCGAAAAGTGAAGCCCTCTTTAACTAAATGCCCAAGGGCCCAAGGGTATGACGGGGGACCGCCAAATCTAGTGGTTGTTCTGGGCTCACAAGGGCTGTGGGATTTGCATCTTCTGACATGGCGCTGGAAGTGGATGGCCTTCGCAGTACATGATTCATGTAAAGGGACAACATCTTATGGTTTCTTGCCACCACAGAAGTTGCAAAACCCAGTCATCACATTGGTCCTCCCCCCCTTCCCCCCAAAACACCAAACACACTTCTAGTTGTTGTGTTGGCCTTCCCCAAGTGGTGGGGGGGGGGCATTGTCCAATGCGACTCCCCGATTGACTTGAACGCTGCACATTTTTGTTTGGTCCTACTCGTCACTTGTGCGGCCTCAATGGACTCTCATCACATGGGTTGTCGGAGGTCAGAGCTCTGCTGTTGTCGACCCGGATTATGAACAGCCCGGCGGATTCATAGAGGATGCGTTCCCTGCCCTCCCAAACAAACAGGGACCCCCCTTCTCTTCGCTGCTTCATGGCCGTGAATCCTGAAGCGACTCAGCCACGAGAAGACGCTAGCGGCAATCTCATCGGTGAACAGGAATGCTGGAAGCTGGGCAATGGCTCCAAACAAATCGTGGACCCCGGTTGGTTACCTTTTGGGTGCGGATTGATTTTGAGATTGTTTTCGTTCTTTGTGGGGTTTTGTTGCTTTTCGTCTCGGCCAGTAAAAGGTCGTATGTTACAGCATTTACCTTTTAAACCTGAGGCTTCCCTCCAAAACAGCAGAGACCCATATTGGTTGAGCCAACCCTCAAGGTTTTCAATTGGCAAAGGATACCTCAAGGACACCCTGACCAAGCTGTGCCAAAGCTGGCTCCCAACCCAAGTCATTGAGAGCCATGCAAACTCTGGGGAACAAGAGGTAGACTCCACATGTTCCTCCAAATGGGCTCGTCCCAACGGCTTCAATTCTTCTGAACCCATCTGAGAACATGCAACACGTCAGCTCTGAACTTGCCGCAAAACACTTCGAAAGGCCGCGAAGACCAACCTCGTCGTTAGGGAACTTGAAGGCAAGCGAAGTTCAAGCAGCCATGGGGTAGCATCGCAAAGTGCTAGTCGTCACCCAGGCTCAGGGCAGGCCTTCACTCACCCCACAGTTTTGCCTATTGCCTGCTGGCAACCAGAGAAGCAAGGAAGTGAAGGGCCGGGATACAGGGGAATAGTGTTCCGGATTCCTAGTTCACAAGACCCAGCCAGGGTCCTCATTCCGAGAACTCACAAACCTGAGTTGAGAAATTCGCAGGTTGCAAGCCTTCGCGGTGCCCGGAATCGCCCGCTCCCCCGATCAGGAAACGGGCAACCAGCAACAGCACACCACTACACCCAGGAAGAACACATGACATACGCAACATTCGTCTAAGTCAATCAAATACAGGTTCTTGTCAATCCCATTCCTTGGCCTGCACCCCTGTAACAACTGCTCTTTTTTTTAACGACCCCCTCAGGTTTTTGGACCCGGTAAAAAGCTGTTGTTGGGTGCATCCGGGGAGTTCGACGTGCCCGCGCCTTCACTTTCAGAAGGCATCCGGATATTGTACAGGAGGCCGACTCGCCGTGACTTCACGCCTCCAACCAAAGAGGTCCGCAAACGGACCGGTGGGGTGGAAACGGGGGACTCGGGGGAAAAAACACCAACAACTCCGCTTTGGGTTTGCCTTACCCACATTTGCTTACGGTTCTGAGTGCTTTACAGGGAGGCCGGAAGAAGTCAACTCCGAGCATCCTTCTTCCAGCACAAATGACTGTTGGCCTCAAAACGGGCAGGGGGAACTAGCCAACAAGCAAACCCAAGGGTAGACACAGTTCCTCTCATTTCCCATTCGCACTGACCATATTTCTACCCTCCCATTGCCTTTGGAGCAGCCCTGAAACTTATGCAGGCGTGTCCCTTTTGGTTGTTTTGGTAGAAAAATAGATGGCCCTGGCTTACCTGGTGGTTTAATCATCTACCAGGGCCATCTATTTCCCTAAAAGGGCGCCTATGGTCGTTCATCCATTGGTTTTTGAGTGTTTGGCTGATTTGGTGCGTTTCGAACATAGCCTGGCAGCTGGCGCCTTTGCCCAAGGTTTTTCCAGACCTTTGGTGCCGCCTGTTTGTCGATTTTCCTTGCACATCTGCCAACAAAAACGAGTGCTCCTTTCTTCTCTGGGTGCAAACCAGCCCATAGATTTGGACTTGGGTCATTTCTTGAGGGTACCCCTCTTTTATGATTTTAAAGGGAAACCAACAAGAAAACCACAATTTTGCGCGATCCCCTAAAAGAGACACCCCAATGTGTTAAACTCGCTGCCTCATTTGGGGTTCCGAACAACTGACTCCTGAACTGGCAGGTTCCAACGTTAACATAGAGTTAGGGACCCGCTCCCACCAATCAACATGCAACCTGACCGGGGGGTCCCTTTACAAGGAAAATGGTCTTCCGGGACCCCCGTGTCAGGTTCCATTCCATGTTGATGGGTGAGAGGGTAAGACGCATACTGCATTCACATTCATCTGCTTTCTTATGGCATGGAGCCTGCGCAAGAAGCGGTTGGCCCCGCTTGCCACCAGTGACTGTGGGGAGCAAAGGGACGAGGCCGGAATCCACCGAATTCTGCTCAGGTGGCTGGAGCTTGGCTCTCGTCTAGAGATACCCTCTCACCAGCTAACGTGGAAGTGTACAGACCCTGTAGAAAGACTACGTTCGCCTTGGAAAGGGCATTTTTGCACTTCCATGTTTGTTGGTGGGAGGGTAGTTGATTTTACAATAGACCTCCAAAACTACGCCCAGGTGTCATCCCCAGCAACTCGCTTCTCAGTTGCCCACCTTCGCCTTTTGGGGATCCGGTCACTCTGAAGCACTCCAAACCCGGTCTGGGCCTATCAGACCGGAAGCTTTCAGCTGGCCCTCCCCCCTCCATCCTCCCCCCCCCCCAAAAAAAAAAACAGAAACAAAAAAGTGGCAGGGAGTAATAAGGTTCAACCCAAAATCATATCCCACGATCCAACCCAACCAGCTCTCGAAGAGAAGCCCCCGACGCGGGCCCTCTGGGGCTCGGGCGCCGCAAAGGACGGCGCTTTCATACGTCGGGACCATGTACTTGATGTTGATGAAGGCGTCTTCGCCTGGCCAAACCGCCCTCGCCAAACCCTCCCATCGAGAGTCCGCTCAGATCAGAAAAAGTATTCCTGAACTTTTTCTCCCATGCCGCTCAAATGTCCTTCCCATTCCGGGGCAAAAAGTATACCCTTCCTACCATTCGCGCAAAACCTGACACGGGATTCAGCCCTTTAAAAAACGTAAAAGGAAAATGGTCTTCCAGGACCCCTCGCATAGGTTCCATTGGAGGGTGAAGTCCACGAAGAGAGCAAACGTGCAGCCCAAAAGAAAAGAACACATTTCCCCCCGGATGGCATCCCCTTCCGCAACAGCCTGCAAAGAGATACGCCCTTGGTTCCCTGGCCAGGCACTGGAGGTATGAACATCCTAAGGCCCCGAAAAAAAGGCAGGAAGGCCTGGAGAAAATTATGGGGTCCCAATTGCTTCGACCCGGATAGAAAAAGAGAAGCTTCCTTTTGGCCAGGAGCCAGTTTTCGTGGGGTCTCACCGAAAGGGAAACGGGAACACCTGAAGTGCTGGCTGTCTGGTTGAGTCAAGATATCCACTTTGGCAATTGCTGGGGGGGCGGAGGCAACCCCAAAATTAAGCATCGCCTACTGGATATGCCGGCTGAAACATGTTCCAACGCGCCGGGGGCACCCAAACATCCAGAGTCCATGAAAGAAAGGTCACCTTAAGTTTGGTACATAGTCCATTTTTAATAAGGAACACCCTTCCAAAACAAGGACAAAGGCGGGCCTGTTTTTGACAGCAATTTTCGGGTCCGGCCTCCGTACTCTTCTAAGATCTGAAGCGTTTCCTCAGCTGCGGCTTTGCAACAAAACCCTGCCTCGATTGGCTTAGCACGTTCGGAGAAGATCCCTCCAAAACATGAGGAAAACATGGCCGCGATACTCAGCTCATTGATGGTAGGAAAACAATGCTCTTTTTGAAGCTCACGATTTTTAGGGTGAAGCCGACAAGCAAATGGGGCAAAAGGGTGGAATCCTCTGAACAACAACAGACAAGCACCCTCGGAAGTATTTGTGAGACCGCCCACACACACATATTCAAAGAGTCTTTCCAAGTTGACTCTGCGGAAATCAATATGACTCCTGTAGGGCAAGTTCCTCTTTGCGCATGCCGTGAGTGTTATTCACAACTCAAATCCTGACCAGACTCGCTGATTTAATCGAGTGGGTTGGCCAAACAAGTAACCATTTTTTTGTTTGACACTCAACGGGTCCAAACCCAAAAAGTTTAAAGTCCAGGAATTGATAAGCGCGACAAGTTGAAACCTTGGGCCCAAAAAAAATAAACACATCCACCATTCCATTTGCTTAAGCCCCCCTGACCCCCTGAAAAAACGGGGACATATTTCCAATAGTGAAATCGATTCCATTTGAATATTTGAATCCAACAAGGGAAGATCGTAGTAATAATAATAATAAAACATTTCAGCAAATGGAAGAGGAGGGTTTGGGATTCAAACGATTCCATAGGACATGTCAGAAACCTCCATTTGCTTGAGTCCCCTGGAAGCAACAACAAAAAAACAGCAGTGATAGATTCCCTTTAAAGCCAAGACGGAAGGTAACAAATATTCTTAAGCAAATGGAAGTAAATGCAAATGGAAGCACCGCTTCCTTGCAAGCCAGGCCGAGGCGCGGTAATGAGATCCCCCAGGCACATGTTCTTCCGCTGGCCATAGTCCATAAAATCGCCCATGTCCTGGCTCGACCAAATCTCTTCCTGAGTGGACTGGCCAAAGCAAGTAGATGGACCAATCTGTTTTTACCACCCGCCACCCAAATGGCAACCAAACCCAAAAAGTTACTAAAGTTCACAATGGTCTTCGCAAAAGATCGCTAAAAACGGTCCAAACCCAAGCAGTAAGTCCTTGAACTCAGGGAGTGTAGACCGCCTGGGGTTGTGGGGGTCTGCGACCCACTTCCCATGAAGTAATTCATCGGGGAAAATGGGTTGCCGAAGATCCAGATCTCCAGTCATCGAAAGTCCCCCCTGCCCCAAATGGGTATATGGGGCAAAATTCAAACACCAAAAAAAACGCAGGTTTTAGTCCATGCTTTCATTTACCGGGCTTCCATGCCATTTTGGGGTTACCCTATTATTGACAACCACGGCCAAATCTCCGTTCTCAAAGGGACAGAGACAGTACCATCGTCGACAGACCTGAGCCAGGGGACCCTTTTGGTTCGAAGGAAAATCAAAATGCTTGGAGTGAATCCCATAAAATCGCTCTTTTTGGGGACATGGTCGCGACTTTTCGGGAAAATTCCTTTATTACCTACCCTTTTTGCAGTCGAGCCAAGAAAACTCATTGGTTGGGACTGCGGAACTGCCCTCCCAATGATCTGAGTTTGATGGCTCGAATCATCAAGCAAAGCCAACCCCCCCCGACTCTCACCTTCAGTTCACACGAGAATACCGAAACAAGCCGGGTGGAAATGGTGGACCGAAGCTCCAATGTCACTTCCAGGAACGGCGAATTCGAATTTGCGCCGTCCGAAAGACATGTCAAGCTCAGTTCACCGACAGCCACCAAGCCGGCAATCGTCCGCCTTTACGCATGATCAAGGAAAGTAAAAACGGACTAGTGCATTTGCATGCTTGTTGGTGGGGGCGGTGTGGGGCCAAATGGGGGAAAAGGGGGCCATTTGCCCCGCAAGAGAGGAAGAGCTTCGAAGGTCAACTCGCGTCAACTTGCGCCCTTCGGAGGCTGATCGACCCAACTCGTCTTAGGGAAAATATCGAAGGCTTTTATACGTGGCCATCCATATCTGGGGCTGAATCGTGGGCTCCAGAAAGGCTTGAAGATCAATGGAAGGTCAGCCAAGGGATGTGGGCCTGTTGTCTTCTACTCTTTCTGTTGAGTGGGCTGAAAAAAGGTCGAAGCCATGATGATTGTCGTCATGGTGCGGATACACATCTGTTGAGTACTTTTCTTTTTGGGGCTGGATCCAAGGGCGTTGCGCCTTCCGGGTCTTGGCTATGAGATGTGCCAGCCCCCCCGTAAAGGTTCAGTGGACATGGTCCCAACCCAAACCTTCGGCATGGCTCTTTACCACTCATTGACCGGAGCATCTATCGATCTATCAGGCTTCATATCAGGTCCCCTTCGGCACCCCGCCTTTTTGTCATCTTGATGCGGCCCAGGTGAGCATCGTTTACCAACTTGCTATGCTTCGTAAGCTGAGGGCTTTGGGCGCAGTGCTTTGAATCGCCTGAAGAAAAGATGGGACCCCTGTCAATCCGCTGGATGGGTAGGTCCTTGGCCGGGATGTTCCAGGTCTTGAACATGCTCAGGACAGGCCTCGCTTTTTTTGAACCGGGCGCCAGGATTCAGGACCCCTCCCTGTTTCCCACAAAGAAGGCCAAAAGTATTTCTTTGGGGTGGCTGATGCCCCGCAACAAGTGCACCTCCTGCTGGCTCGGGACAATGACATCAGCCATCGACAAATTTGGGCCACCACCGACATTCTTTGGGGCTCCATCTTGAGAGCGCCGACAGATGTCCAGGGCAAGGGTGAATTGTGTCGATCCCAAATGAAAAAACGCAACCAGGCGCCGGGTGCCCAGCACTTGCTCTGAGGTCCCTTGGGCTGAGGGCACGATATTTTTGGCACGTGATTATGATTTTTTTGGATCGAAGCCTGGCAAATCCGCCCGCGAGTTCGTCATTGCCTGGCCAAAACAAGTCCAAACTCTGGTGGTTTTTGCCACCGCCCAATGCCAAACATTTCTTCCCAAGTTGAAAAGGGCATGGCCCATTTTAGGGCGAGGAACCAACCAACTAAGCCGCAACGGTGTTCATTCTCGTACTTGTCCCTTAGAAACCTGGAACGAGGTGATCAGTTTTGGGGGCCTTTACGAAACATGTCCCAAAGACCAACCCAAAGGTCAAGAATTCGTCTTTGGGCAAATGAGTTCTACTAGAGCCGGCGATGCCCCGGACGAATTCCGGGGTCTGCAACGCGGCGAAGCACCTCCCCTTTGAAGGCGGAGTGCCGAGCTAAGACATGCACATGCTACGGCCGGTACCCCAATAGACATATGAGACCCTTCTACAGCACGGCCTTTCCTTCGGAGGGATGGATCCGAACATCAGGACGAGAGGCAGGATCTGCCGGTAGTAAGGCACCAAGGCCTGCGTCGAGCGTTGGAGCAAAGGCGTGCCTTAAAAAAAATATCCCCAGGAGCTCTTCCAAACATGGTATCTCACTTCCTGAGTGGGTTGGCCAAAAATCGCCTGAACTTGTTTAATTTACCACCAAAATGGTCCAAACCCAAAAAGTAAAGTCCATGAACTCAGGGAGTGAGGCATGGAAGATCAGTTCCAATTGAGGGGTGGGCAAGAATGGCAAGACATGTAAGACCACTGGCAAAGGATGCAATCTGACCATTACCACGGTGTGATATGCACTGCTCACGTGGGGCTTCCCCTAGTGGCACTGTGCAAGTGGACGTGCATGCTTCAGCCTGCACCAGATTGAAACCACGGTTGAAACTACGACGTTTGTTGGTATTTTCAGGGGAGTCAGCATAGGGTTTCTTAGGTGGTGCAGGATTTCGTCCATCCACAGTTTCACCTGTACCGACCGCACAATGGCCAAAGGAATCGGAGCACTTTGGAAAATTCGAGGGGTTTCGCTTTGAAGCGTTGACAGTTGGGTGGCAGAAACAGGGTTCCCTCGTCGGTGAGTATCGGACGTGAATCCAGAGGGAATTCTGCCATCAATGTTTGCCCCATGTCATGGTATCTTTCGACCATCGAAAGACGTGAAGCCTGCCTCGCCGATGAGCTCCTTGCTGGCCAAAAGAAAGCGACGGTGGATGCCCAAAATATTGCAAGTAGGGAAAGAAGGGAACTCCCAGTCAACCCTAATCTACTATGGTGTTGTGGGTAGGTTTGGTTGCTTTACTTGCAATGTTTAGGGCATCCACCGCAGTATGCTTGGCCATCTGAGGAAACACAGCAAAATACGATTTCCAGACATGATGTGTCCTATCTCGCCTTCCCTAAGACATAAAGCTCACTTCCCGAGTGGATTGGCCGATAAAAAGTCCAAACTTTGCGTCTGCTGCTGAAATGTTTGCAAAGGGTGACTAAAGGCCAGTTGAACTCAGGGATTGAGAGGGGAGCTTAGGAAACCTCATCCCTCAGCTGGAAGTTATGAGGGCTCCTGAGGCCTACGAAGGGATCCATGGAAATATGTAAGGGGCCCTTTACTGATGTGGACCTGGGACTTTGGGACATTAATCGCTACCATGCATGCTCTCCAGGGGAAACAAGTCACACATGCTGACTGTCCTTTCAGTAAACCAACCAAACCCACCAACAAAAACCACGTAAATTGGGGTTAACAGGGAGTTCCTTCTTTCCCTACTTGCAATATGATGGGCATCCCCCGCACTTCTGACTGTCCCAGTGGCCATGCCAATCATACCGATCTGCAAGTTCTGAAACCAGTCAGAAAGTGAAATACACGATCCCCAAGTACAGCACACGTGGGATTGGATGCGATTGCAAGTGCCCCAAAGCGGTCGATCAAAGGCCTCCGTGTTTTCTTGATGTTGACTCGGGAGTACTCTCTAAAGGACACCCCCTATATTCGTCAAGCTTTTTATTTCTGTGAACGCTGATGCAAAAACTGTCGCCCACCAAACAAACCTGAGGGCTCCCTCTCAATTTCGACCCTGCGATTGTTTGCAGAACCTGGGAAAATCAACACTTGAAGAATTGCGTTGACATCCCTTCCTCACTTCCTGAGTGGATGGGCCGCTAAAAAGTACAAACTGATTGCTTGCCACTGAACTTGGCTTCTCAGGAACTCGGGAAGTGGACTCGAATTGAAAGGAACCGCCGCTATAGCAACAGGCACACTGGTCGGGGTGTTGGAATACGTTGCCCCATCTCATGAACACCTTTGGAGTGAGAGTCGCTCAGCTTGCGGCTGAGCGACTCCAAGTGACGGGTTCCCTGTCGCACGCAGCTTCAAGCGATCCGAATGAGGCTTCACAAGAAACACTTCCCATCTGAATAGCCGACAACAAATACAAACACGCAAACACACACAGACACACACAGACACACACAGACACACACAGACACACACAGACAGACACACACACACAGACACACACACACAGACACACACAGACACACAGACACACACACACACACACACACACACACACACACACACACACACACACACACACACACACACACACACACACACACACACACACACACACACACACACACACACACACACACACACACACACACACACACACACACACACACACACACACACACACACACACACACACACACACACACACACACACACACACACACACACACACACACACACACACACACACACACACACACACACACACCAAGGCAGGCCCCCAGAAATAATCACCTGTGAAATCTGGGCTGTTTGAAAATAGAGCGTTGGCCAATCCGACGTCTGAGTGGACACCTCCCTACACAGCAATTCTGGGGGTTGGTTCCCCATTCTTTCCAACCATGGTTCTTTTCAAAAACCAGCTGTTTTTGCAGGGTTTTGGTTGTTTTTGGAAAGAAGGATGCCTGGAAAGTCTGGGGAAGGCATCCCTAGATCAATTAGAAACATGGAATTTACACGCAACCTTTTTTGCGCTGGAAGGTTCGCCGGGCGGCGCCGCTGAGGACCAGCTTTTGCATCAGCTTCAGGGTCGTGCACATGATAGTCGGGTCACCTGGGCTACAAATGCCCTAATCTTGCAAGTAGGCCAACAGCACTCAAAAACAAAACCATCTAGGTCCTCCAGTAGAGAGGTTCAGGGTGCCCGATATTTTTTCTGTAGTCTATTTTAGTAGGGGAACTCTCCCCAAAAATTAGGTAAAAGGGCACTACTCAAGGACCTAGCCATGGTAGATTCAGAGGTAAATTGGGGGGCTCCCTTGTCCCCCGTATTTTAAGTACTTAGGGCACTCAGACTCATTGTGCCAACTTTCGTTTACTTGACTGGCTGACTCACCCAATGCTTCCAGTTACCACTGCAATTGGCAAGCCAAAAGCAACCACTTTCAAAAGGGCAAATGTCTGGCCAACTGCTATGGTACTTGGGATCCCTTTTGGTTAGGAGCTTATGGGCCTCATCTAAGCAAGGCACTGAACAAAGGGTCTTAAAAAAGAAAAACAACTGGCATTTCGGGTAAATCCACACCTTTTGGACATGGAGCCTATGGCATGTCTATGTCTCAAAGACAAGTCTGAACCTTTTTTGCCACTTACATGATCTTCCCAAAAAGCTCCAAAAAGTATAAAGTTAAAACAAAACAAAAACTCAGGGAGAGACGTTGGGGAAAGGCAGGAGCAAACTCAAACAATTGAACCCACTGCTCAACCAAATTCACCAAGAACACTTGTGCTGCTTGCTTACCCAGCGGAAAACCTGAAGTGCCTCCGTTTGCTTGGTTCTTCACGGGTGCCACAAGTGTGGGGTGTGCATGTGTGCGTCTGTGTGTGTGTGTGTGTGTTTGTTCTCCTTTTGGGGGTTAAGCCATGGGGCTTAGAAACATTCGCCAAACCCTCAGCATGTGGTCCCGTTTCTAATTTCCCGTGGTTTGCTGTTCCAAAATCAGTTTAAACTGCCCCTACCATCCCCATGCCAAACGCACCACCCCCCCAAACACACTTCTAGTCTTGGTGAATTACAGTACCCAACGCAACGGGGCCCTTGTTGGGGTTGGAGTGTTTGGGGCCCCGGTCCAAAAGAACCTGTGAAAGAGCCCCACTTGTCGATTAGTTCTCCGGAACCGGGCAAATGATCTCCACTTAGGGGGGTTACAAGTGGGTTTCTTTACGATGGTTTCCACTACAAGGCAAAACGGAGTAACTAAGCCGGTATAGCCACTATATAAAGGCTACATATTCCATTTCTCTGAATTAGTGGGCACTATCAAGTTACCACCAAGTGGTTAGCAACACCTTACAACAAAGGTCCCTGGATTTTCTCTGTACAGGCAGTTGACTAGTGGCTTCCATTGAAACTGTAACTGTTAGACTTCCCTTTGCTTGAGCCCCCAAGGACAAATTGAAAACACATTGCCAGTAGTGATAGATTCCCTTTAAAATCAAGAAGGAGAAAACCCAAAAAATGCTCAGCAAATGGAAGTAACCAAGAAGAAGAGGTTCCAAATTGAGAAATGGCGGAAGCGCCTCTAACTTGACGGCTCGAAGACCTGTTTTTCCCCCAGGCGCGGGTGTTCAGCGCTGACTTCAGCGGGATCACCAGCTGAGGCACCACCTTGCGCGCGGATCCCATCCGCGGGTTCGGTGAAAACCGCCCTGGGACCAGCTTGGGGAACGGCTCCACGTGGTTTTGCCACGTCGTTTTTTTGCGGTCATTGTGTTGAACGTTTCTAGGATATCAAAGCCAGAAATATTATTTTCCCTTTACCAGTGACTTTGACAATTGTAAAACAATGGGGCCAGTTTTCGGGCTGGTTCGTTGTTTTTCCTGTTCTCTTCGTTCTTCAGGTATTCCTGTGTCTTGGATTTGGATTTTTGGTGCTGAGTGAGGATTTGGACCCCTGGCTTTTGTGGAGGGTAAATGAGAAACCACCACACCACCAATCCGAATTCCCAATTAGAGGGATGTTGATCTTTGATATGAATGCAGCCCACAACTCAGTGTAGCAGAACGTGCGGTTAGCAAAAAAGAACAAGGGCATACATATATATATATATATATTCAGGGCTGGTTGGGCCGGTGGGATGCTGGCTGGACGGAAACACACATATATAGACATATATGCAACCCATGAAAAATGGTGTAGGGCCAAACCGAGCAAGCTTCATTTGGATATACCCTCACAACAAACGGTGGTTAAGCGCAAAGACCCACTTCAGGGACAGTCCCAGGTTTCCGTGCGATGAGGTGGTTGGCCTCGAGGCAACCAGACGACCACAAGGGGAGAAAAGGTATATCTAGAAAACGGCTTACAATGCGGCTACCCCCTCCAAAAACATGCCAAGAGTACTAACAAATGTTGCACCAAAAAAGGACCAACCGGGAGAAGACTGAAGGCCATCACGTTGCAACCAAACAACCTACAAACAACTCTTCGCTCTCCCCGGGATGCGAACTACCACCATGAACACCATGGGGTTGATAGAAAACATATTTAGTTTACCCCTGCTTACCTAAGGATTTTCATAATCATAATCTTTATTGAGTCAGCCGTTATATTCAGAAAGGGGCTGAACCTCCACCCGGAGGGAGAGAGAGAGAGAGAGAGAGAGATCCCCAGCCCGCTAAACTCGAAGGGCATGTACCACAAATCCATGGTTGCTGCTGACCCCACAAACAGGCTGTCCACTCTTCGTGGGTGCAATGGAAACCAACCCCAATTTCGACAAAAAAGTTCTACTGTTGCAGTCTAACGACTCACTACCCTAAATATATATATATATATATATATATGGTCACCCCCCCCCGCCCCAGGGCGGCCTACCTTTCCGCTCTTCTAACATATATATATATATATCTACATATATATATATATATTTATTTATTGCCGCCGCGTCAATGGCTCAATTTCCATGCGCGCCGAAAAGTCAGAATGCTGCCAGGCAGGAACTCTGGCAAACCAACTGGCAAACCACTCTGGCAGCGGTTGGACCAAGATTGAAACCGGGTTCCCTCCGTTTCCCCTGTCCACATCACCAGGAAAGCTCGCTTTCACACGGCCAAACAGGACCTGCAATCCATAGATGAAGATGAACATATACATACAGGGCCTCTAGCACAAGCAGTTCAACTCGTAGCAGGTCAAGCCAACGACCGGAAAGCCATCGGGGGCGCGGCGGGCAAGATCTTGTCGCCGCCCTGGCAAATTTTGTTTCGTATGGCGCAAACTTCCATTGCACCTCAAGCCGTTTCATAGCTGTCTCGAAGGGGGAGGGGTCAAGATGATACATGTCATGTCACTGAAGCATGCGGGTTCTTAGCGCGAGCTGAACATTTGAGTCACATCATGTGAGCAGCGCCAGCTCAAGCTGTTTAAATGGGCCATGCTGTAAACCCCATCAAGCCAAGCAGTGCAACCGCCTTGCTCAATGCAAGAAAGGGCGAAACAATTCAGGGGTCGCTGATTCACTTTCCTGCGAAACTAAAATTCATTACCTGCTGAAAATGATGGATGTCTTCCTACAGGGCCTTCACAGCATTGCCGACTGGGCTGTCCTCAGATCCCCTGCGAAAACTCTAACTTGTGGGTTATTATCATTATCATTATTACTATTTTTATATGGAAATCAGCCACTAAACCAACTACAAAGCTAAGCACCCAAGGAACCGCATGGCTGCGAACCACCAAGCCGACTATACCAACGGAATTTCCCCGTTTCCAGGGAGCAACCGGCCAACCGGCGACCCCGTGTCGGCCGAAAGTTTCTCTCTCCAGGCCCTCTCGAGCATGTCGTAGGCGCCGGTCACAGCCATAAACCTGGGCAAGAGAAAGCAGAGCTGACTCAGCTCAAATGCCCCCAAAGGCGACCCAGCAATTTCTCAGGTGATCACCTGGCGCCGCTAAACAAGGCAACCCACCCATGCAAAACTGAAAGGCCAGATCATAAGTCCATGAGCTCAGGAAGTCAGGAAATACACGGTGATCACCTTTTGGAGCCTTCCGAGCGGATTCGCCACATATATATATATACATAATTATATATATCTATATATAATATATAAACAACAACATATTTTCTTTGCCACTCAAACGGTCCAAACCCAAAAAGTGACGGGGAGGGATGGGAGGGGGTCAGGCAACGCCTCGAGCACCTTTCGTCGTTCGATGGAACATCAAATGTGTCAAGAGCGAAGGGGCTGAATGTCCAAAGGCTAGCTGGTAACTGCAACTTTGAGAAAGCCTGCGATTAACTTCTCATCACCCACGGAGCACTCCCAGCCAAAAGAATCTCCTCTAAACATGCCTGCACTTGGTTGCAACCCAAAGATGATGCGGAACAAAAAAAGAGCAGAAAAGTGGACCCCGGTGTCATTGTGCTACTGCTAACTTCCTGCCGTTTCAAACTGCTCAAGTATCAAGTCTGCCTATGCGACACTCTTGGCCTAGAGATTGGCGGCCCAAAAAGTTGCAACGAACTCCTTGGGTTAGGATCCTAAGACCTGGAAGACAATTTTACTCCAAGACACACCTGGTGGGTTCCAGCTTGGGTGGGTGGAAGGTATGTTACAATTCCGCGGCGATACAATGTTGGCAGCCAAAGCCAGCATGGTTCCGTGCGGCCTGAAGGGATCCTCTTTCTCTCGCACCCCGTCGAAGAAAATCGGCAGGTAGTGGTGGTAGTCGAGTTTTTCGACCTCAGCCATTGTGGCACCCTGCTCCCAAACCCTCGTCGCTGTGCCGGACCGAAACTCCGAGACTTGGGCGTCCCCATGATTTAGGGTCTGGCCGTTTCAAGGCCAACCATACTAAGGGAACCCCCAATCCATTTTGGGGGGTTTAAACTGACACGGCATTTGTTCAGCCTGGGGGACCCGCCAAAAGACTCTTGAACAGAACCCTAAGACAAATGACGCCCCTGGCTGCAGCAGTCCAAAAGACCTGGAAATACAAGGCAAGGTGATCACCTTTTGGAACCTTGACACAGCATGGACATCGCAACCAGAAGGTGAAAACTTGGTTACTAATAACCCCTCTGCACCAAAACTTATTTAGGGGTTCAATAAAACACCAACTTGACTTCCCAAACTGTTCAAGTCCAAAAGATCCAACCCAATAGCAATCAAGCAAACTGGGCTGCCCTCAGATCCCCCGCTAAAAGTTAAATGGAAACTACGACTAAATACTAAAAACCTAAGGAACCGGATGGCTGGGAGCCACCAAAAGAAGAGGCCGGAACTTGGGGTAGTCAGCTTCTCTTGGATCCGGACATCCACTTTCCACAGCAGCTTGCCTGCGCAAAGGCTCCCCAAGCCCCGACTTCCTTCTTCTGAGCTGCGAACCTTCGCATGGCGTCTGCAGAATTCTGCCAAACCGAAGAAGTCTCTGGTTTGCACTTGCCCTCAAGCAAGTTTTTGCCAAACATCAAACCTCTAAACTTCCCGACCCCTGTTAGTTGTCTGGTAGGTCCGGAGAACAAAAAACACAAATTTGGCTCCCTGCAGTTCTCCGCTCAGTATGAACAGAAACATATCCCAAACCTCAAGTGGGCATTCCTTGGTTGCCGGCAGGACCCCCCTGAAAAAAGTTTGACTGTTTGGGGGTTTAGTGGAAACCACCTTTATTTCCCAACAGAGTTAAAGATCCGTTACCCACTTGCAGTCAAGATTCGTTCCGTTGGTTGACATGGGGAGAACAACACACGACACCGCTTGAGGCCTCCATGGAGAATACACGAAAGCGACTGCAAGTTCTTGCTACATGTGGCGAAGCGGGCCGGCACCGGCCGAAACGGGCCGGGTCTTCACATGCAGCAACGCAGGTGTCACTGGATTTCAACTTCATGCAAATGAACTGCTGGTTTCAATTGAAGCGATTTCCACTTTTAGAGGTTCCAAAAGGGAAATGAAGAAAACTTTACCCTGCGACAAGGATCCTGTATTTTGACGAAAGGGTGCAGGAAACCCTGCCCGTCTTCAATTACTCGCTTCCTGAGTGGATTGGCAATCTCAAATCCAAAGTTGTTTCTTACCAACAAAATTGTCTTCAAAACCAGTATGAAGGCTCAGGAACGCAGGGAGTAAGAAACGTGGCCAAACTTGTGCCTGCTCGAAAGCGAAAGAGGAACCCCCCAAAGTTGGGGCCAAGTTATGTCCCACAATGCGCATCTTGACTGGCATTCACTTAACCTTAACTCACTTGCTGAGTGCAGTGGCCACAAAAAGTATGAACTTGCTTTGCCACTCAAGTGGAGTTCCCAAAAAGTATATCTAAAGTCTATGAACTCGGGAAGTGTGTGAAACAGGTCCCAGTTTTTCACATTCTTGTTTGCAAAGGTGCCTATTGACCCATGGTAGATCTGCACAGGTAGGTCTCCTCGCCTGGCGCGAGAAACAGGCCCCCCCCACGGTTTCCTCCAGGTAGGGGAAATTGTCGCAAGGGCTTCTCTTTGGCATCCCCTGATGTTTTTTTTGTCAACCCAAAGAAGGGGAAGGCATCCCCTGATTTTTTTTGTCAACCCAAAGAAGGGGAAGTGGGTGAGTCCTTGCGGTTGGCGGTTGCTCCTTTTGGCTTCCAGCCGAAGCCAATCCAAACCGCCGATTCCTGAAAAACAAGTAAAGCAAGAGGCCACGGTGATTTACCGGTCTGTCATTCTCGCTTGCAATGTTTGGGGGATCACTAAATCCCACGTGCCCTTATAGTGGGTAACCAGCTATTTGATCATTGTCTTTTTGTTTGATACTGTGGATGGACGAAATCCTGCACCACCTAAAGAAACCCTGGAATGATGATTCACCTGTAAATACCAACAAACAATGGTTTCCCACGGTTTCTTAGGTGGTGCAGGATTTGGTCCATCCACAGTAGGGTGGTTCCTTTGGTTAACCATGCAGGAACATAGATCCGCTGGTTGTAGCTTTCACGCCTTCGGTTCGCGGGCAAGGATCCCATCCGGCAGTGGAACCTCGTTTGGGTGTATCACCTGTGAACCCGCCAGGAAAAGTGGCTCTGGCAGAAAATAATTGAAACTCGTTTCGGGGTTGACCTAATTTAGCGATAAAGCCACCAAACAGAAAGATCAAACAAGGGTGCCACTGCCAGTCCAGGCTTAGCCGAGAAAACATGAAGCCCCCTATGCTGCATGTTGCGCGGGACATGGCGCAACAATACCCCCAAAAGACATATAACAACCCGAATTAGCACAAGGAGTCGCATTCTATGGAAAGCTTCTCGCAAACCAACAAAAAGGGCCCCACATTACAAGGCAAAACCACGCTTTGTCTGCGGTTGACTCTCAAACCAAGTTCAACATCTTCAACAAAGGCCCGGCCCCACCACTTGAGGGATCTATAAATGACCAAAACACATACAAAGCAAACAACCACGTCCTGACTGCTGGCCTTCAGGAGCAACAAACTGAATGGCCAACCCATGTTTTCAATGTGAAGATCGTTTACTTTAGTCCTGCTTTCTATGAATGGGGGGCGCAAATTCTGTGGCTAACTGGTGACCAGATTTCACAGCTCCACGCCCATTCCCTTTTTGAGCCCTTAAAAGGGCACTGACCAATCTTCGGTCTCAAAAGCAATGGGCCCCCGGCTCGTAGAAAAACCGCAGCCTCGGAAGTCCGCAGGGTGATGGGCCGAACATGCCAAAATCTTTGCGCGTGGCTTCAAAACGACACACACAGCTGCCCCACCAAGAACCAAACTTTGCTTCAAAACGACACACAAACAGCTGCAGCACCTTCTCGGGGCTGACAAACCAACATCAACTTTCGGCCCAATGAGACGATTGGTTCGGGTCCAAGCGGGAATCCCTCTAGAAGTCCATAGGACCAACAGGCTCCACGCTGCCTTGACTAAGAACCGATACCCAAACAAAATTGGAAAACCAAAAACTCAGATTCAGTCGAGTCGCTGTGGGCAACTTGGCAGGTTTTGAACCCACGGCTTTTCTCAAAGCAACTGATTCACCCCCCCCCCCCCTTCATTAAACTGTGCAAGTCAGTGGGCAAGTCAACCCCTTAGGGACCTTTATCATGGCTTGTTCTACACCCGGGTGAATTTTTGAGGAAGACCCCCAACAAGGGCCCACAAGAAATAGAGGACTTTCATCGTTTGCCGGAGCTTCACTTGCCTTCGGGCCGAATGTGCGGTCACTGGACTTTTTTCAGCTTACTGTACTGAAAGGCTCCCTCTTTCAAATCAACAGGGCTCCCTATATTTCCCCTTCAAACATCACCCCCACCAAGAGATACTCACCTTTCATGGGCCAAAAAGGTGATGTTTAAAACAGCCAAAAAAGGAAATATAGGGACCCCTATAAAATGTGGATACCCCCAGCTCCTTGCCGGCCAGTGTTGCCACTCACTTTGATGCCACTCAGCCAGGTCCAAGAAAAGGAATGACCTGACACCTTTCACATGGAACCCAACTTCAAAAGGTTCCAATGAATAAAAGAAGACTCCCCAATGAATATGATTGATTCTGCGCCGTTTCTCATCTGCTAGAAAAGTACTAGGTCCTCCAGTAGAGAGGTTAAAATAAGTAGGGGAACCTTCCCCCAAAAAAGGGGTGAGAAAGGTCACTACTGGGAGACCTAGATTAAGATGGACATCGAGAGGCTGGACATTTTGCGCGTGCTAGGGCTGGGGCATGGAAGGCTTGATGGGCTTGCGCCTGGCAGGGCCACACATCACCGTGGCGTGGAACCGGTGTCAGGGATTCTGCCAGGCACGGATGAATATCTATAGTCATATTCAAACACCCCCAGCTCCCACTCCAATCCAAACCACCAAAAAACCTGAGCCTCTGTGTTCAAGCCATCCGTCACGGGACACCCCACACTCAAAAGCCACTCGAAACCTCTCGCCGCAGCCTGAAGGCGCCAGCCTTTGGAGGGCCCACGTCCGCTCGCAGCCTTGGCGCGAAAAAAACCACGGCGCCGTGGGAAGCTCCGCACAACCCAAACGGCATATGGCAGCAAAAGACGGGGAGTCTGCTCCTTTTGCAGCCCCCGAAAAAAAAAAAAAAGAAATGAAGAGAGTTCCACAAAAAAAACAACAACAAAAACAAAACAGTAAAAATAACTTGCCGTTGGCTTTAAAGGGATTCGGAATCTACAATATTGGAAGTTGTGTTTTTTATTCTCCAACAAATGTTGGGCCAACTTAAAGTGAGTTTCCTTTTGGTGATGCTCAAAGAAGCCCTTCGAAGGTGTTGTAAGACTCAGCCGTCTTGCAAAGACTTCCTGACTTCCACAATTTGTTTGACGAGGATAAGTAGGATCAGCTTCTCAATCTTTCTTGCCCAATCCGTCCAGTTCATTTTCTGCTTGGCACATCCGATCTGGATTTGCCGCAAAAGCACAGAAATGGCGTGGTGCAGCTGCTTGCCTTCAAGATCGCTATAGATGCGGGCCTTTCTTCTTCTAGCTTTCCAAAGCTACATGATTGCCATATAAGTCAGTCTCAGAGCAGGAAAATGTGTGGGAGAAATGTATGGTTGCATTAGGTGCCTAGTTCCCTTTGATGAGGGTATGGGGCAGCACGCACTGAGGCTTGCCCAGAATCAGAGAAAAAGCTGGTCATACATAGCTTTACCTAGCTAGATTTTGAAGGGATTCCTTGGTTTTGTCTAGGTGTTCTTGTTGGAGAAGCACTTTCAAATGATAGCTAGACTTCCTCCATTGTGAAAGTGTCTCGACCAAAGGCACCCTGCAGGGCAAAGTCGGGTTTCCCTGACCCGGCACCATGAACAGTTGCCTAAGAGGTAGCCCCAAGGTTGCCTTCCGCACGCAAACTGCCAGAGAGTGAAACAAGGCACCAGCTTGTAGCGGGATAAAGGACTTTGCTTTAGGGGGACCAAAAGGTGGTTGCTCAAGAGGTGCCGTGTGATAGCTGGGGCCAGGGGGCAAAGAAAAGCATGCAACTAACTCCCCCCCCCCCCAAAACCCGAGAGAGCCTGCCGCAATGGTGGGGGGTTTCACCCTGCTGGGGTGAGGTTTTGGACACGCAAAAGCATAGTTTGAGGCCCTACCCATGCGTGCTGGTAAAACGAGGAGAACGAAAAGGAGGTTGCTTGAAGGAGATGTTTGTTTGCATCACCTATTCAGTTTCGTCTTCTGGTCGAGCCGTCCTGATTTTGGGAGAAGTATAAATTTCAGTTGGAGTCTCGGGAATGCCCACCACAGCAGTATAGCATTTGACCCCGGATCAATCAACGAGGTAATTGTTTCAGGGGTGCAGCGGAACCATGTGGGTGTCCTTTCCGGGAACCCTCACCCCCCCACCCCCGGCAAAAAAAATAAAACACACACAAACAAAAGGCATGTGGTGTTTTTTGTTGTTTTCCCTTCAAGCCCACACAAAAAGGTGTAGCCTCAGAGAAAGCACAGACTCATTTGCATGTTACGTCGTCACAGTTCTTGGCAATCACACATATTCTTGAGAACATGAATGTTTAAGTTCAGCTCGCAACTTGCCCCAGAGGTTTTCCCGTCTCTTTTCACTGTCCGCCTGTGGCAATCGGCGCTTCAAAGGTGCCTTCACTAAATGACCACCGTTGAGGATTCCTCGTCCGGATGGCAGCCTCAGATCGCTCAGGAAGCCTGGCAGAAAAAACGGGGACCCTGGAACCCACCCAAAAAAAGGGGAGAACAGGGTGATGCTGAGTAAGTGGTTGGGGGGGGGGAAGGGGCGCGCGCAAGAGCAAGAGTCCCTCAAAAAAAACCAACAAAGGGTGAAGGGGGGGGGCGGGTGGGGTGGGTTTGGGGGGGGGGACCCACCCAAACAAAGGGGGGAACAGGGTGATGCTGAGTAAGTGGTTGGGGGGGTGGAGGGAAGGGGCAAGAGTCCCTCGAAAAGGAGGATGTTGTCAAACATCACCGCGCCGGAAGCTCGCGCATAGAATTCGAAATCCGGCACTGTAATCAGAACATAGGTGTAAGCAAAAGAGATGCAAAAAAGAGCGGTCACTACGTGGACCGGTCTTTCCAAGACCAACTTCGGGTCGAAGGGAACCGGCCCCCAACCCCCAACTTTGGGCACACGGATTCGGGTTCGGGTCTTTGGTTCCTTGGACCCAGTGACCATGGGAAAAAAGAGGGCCAACGGACATTCTTGGGCCATTTGAAGGGAAACGCCTCAAAGGAGAACATAACTCACTGTGTCTTTTTTTTGGGCACCCCGGGTACCGCCAAAAAAAGACACCCCACTGGAGGTCGTGGAACGCGCGGTTTTTTGGAACACGCGGGAGCAAAGATTTTCCAGCAAACGGGAAGCGATGAGACTGTGAACGTCGCGATGCAAATCCAAGGGGCCCTCTGTACCTTTTGATAGCCCGGACTTCCTCCAAAAGAACCGTTGGCTGTGTTGCTGTGGTTATTGATGTAGAATCCTTCTTTGCTTCTGGGGGGAACCAATTTTCACAGGGTTCGCACAGAGCATTGGGCCTATAAGCTTCCTTCAAGACACATACCGAAAAACACAGTGAAGTGCCATCGGATTTGGATCCTCAGCTATGGTCAAGGTAAGCTCTCAGCTAGCCACACACCCATACTTTGGAGATCGGAAGGAACTTTCACAGGGGCTTGACTGCAATCCTCGGATGCTTTCGAAAGGCTCCCCTGCTAAAAGTTTAACTCTTAGTGATTTAATGGAAAACTCATTAGTTGGCAAAAACTTAAAGTCCTGACATCCAAGCAAAATGCACCAAAGAACCGGCGAATCGTTCGTACAAGGTGCAATCTTTGCACGGAAAAGGCTTGTGCTGATTCCAAAGGCGCTTGTTGTCCTTCTCGTCCAAACCCTCATACCATTTCCTCGGTCATGTTCTGGGTACAGGGTAGTTTGACTCAGACCTCCAAGAAACAAGAAGCTGCCAGAGGTGCTGGAAACAGCTGTCAGAACCGAAAGTGGGCCTCTTGCGCCGAGAAAGTGAAGTAGGCAGCATGTGTGAAAGAAATGGAGAACGCACACCGGCTGCATATGCAAAGGTGTGCTGCACCAACCAAAATGATACTCAGAAACAAGAAACAAGTAGCACTGGAGGGCAAGAGCTACACACGAATAGAATTATATACAACCGCCTCAGGCATTTGGTACCGTTCAAAGGGTTCCGTTCGCCATCTTTCATAGTGGGACACCAGCAAAATCCAGCAGTTGCTTCGCAAACTAGCGGAAATGAAACTAGAGGACGATTGGCCCGAAAGCATTTTTCCCCAGGCGCTCATCCAGCCGCGGAGACACCTTTTTACATTGCTGCGGCGAGCGTGTCTGCATGCGGCGATGCTCAATGTGTATGGTCACATGAGAGCTCCATCTCATCATCTAGTTTCCTCTCGAACTTCGCCGCGCGATTTCTCACGAAAGTGGTCTGCGCAAGCTGCATTGTTCCAGGCTGCTGCGCGCAAGTTGTCTCTGCAAGCTGCTGCACGCAAGTGCTCTGTGCAAGTTGCTCTGCGCAAGTGCTCTGAGCAAGTTGCTCTGCGCAAGTGCTCTGCGCCAGTTGCTCCGTGCAAGCGCTTTGCGCATGTGCTCTGTGCAAGTTGGTCTGTGCAAGTTGCTCTGCGCCAGTTGCTCCGTGCAAGCGCTTTGCGCATGTGCTCTGTGCAGGTTGCTCTGCGCAAGTGCTCTGAGCAAGTTGCTCTGCGCAAGTGCTCTGCGCCAGTTGCTCCGTGCAAGCGCTTTGCGCATGTGCTCTGTGCAAGTTGGTCTGTGCAAGTTGCTCTGCGCAAGTGCTTTGTGCAACTGCTCTGTGCAATTCGCAGAGCGCAAGTTGCTCTGCGCAAGTGACTCTGCGCAAGTTGCTCTGCGCAAGTGCTGCCGGAGCTGTGGGAATGCACTTTGCGTACTATTCTTGTACTTAAAAGTTGCGATTTTCCAGCCGGAGCTGCGGGAGCACGCTCCGCATACTACGTCTGTACTTAAAAGTTGCGATTTTTCAACCGGAGCTGCGGGACGTGCACTACGTCTGTACTTAAAAGTTGCGATTTTCCAGCCGGGGCTGCAGGAGCACGCTCCGCGTACTACGTTTGTACTTTTATAAAAGCAGCTGCCGCGGACCAAGGGGGAATCGATCCCGCGACCGCGGGATTGCGAAAGCAGGCGCGCGAGCCACGAGACAACTTCCAAAGGCCATTTCGCGAGCGACAAATTCACGGCGCCACAGCGAGAGCGCTTCGACACGCACGATCCCCGCAGAGCGTCGCGCGCGGCTTGCAGAAATCGTAAAAAGTCCTTAGTTTTTGAACCTCGACCACGCGAATCTCCGCAGAGGGTCGCGCGCGCGTGTTAGAAATCGTAAAAAGTCCTCAGTTTTTAAACCTCGACCACGCGAATCTCCGCAGAGGGTCGCGCGCGGCTTGCAGAAATCGTAAAAAGTCCTCAGTTTTTGAACCTCGACCACGCGAATCTCCGCAGAGGGTCGCGCGCGGCTTGCAGAAATCGTATAAGTCTCAGTTTTTTAACATCGACCACGCGGATCTCCGCAGACGGTGATCAAACTCCCGCCCCGGCGCCTTAGAAACCTAAACTAACTTACATAGCTGCTTACGCCGAAGCTCTCGGCAAGCTCTACCTGGCTCTGTGCCACTTGGCTCTGTGCCACTTGGCTCTGTGCCACTTGGCTCTGTGCCACTTGGCTCTGTGCCACTTGGCTCTGTGCCACTTGGCTCTGTGCCACTTGGCTCTGCGCAAAGTGGCTCTGTGCCACTTGGCTCTGTGCCACTTGGCTCTGTGCCACTTGGCTCTGTGTAACTTGGCTCTGTGCCACTTGGCTCTGTGCCACTTGGCTCCCACTTGGCTCTGTGCAACTTGACTTGGCTCTGTGTAACTTGGCTCTGTGCCACTTGGCTCTGTGTAACTTGGCTCTATGTAACTTGGCTCTACGTAACTTGGCTCTATGTAACTTGGCTCTATG